ATTGTTGAGTCAATTTTTTCTCGGTTCCTGCCAGTAATATAAAGCCTTCAACTTGACGCTCAATTATCTTGATTCTTGTCAAAGATAACAAAAAGTTGTCGACTGATAAAATGATTATCATAATATCAAATGTGTTTTGTTAGTTGACATGCTTTTGATATCTTGCATAAGAGCTGAGATAATCGAGCTTAAACTTGACAGTGTGAGTGCCCTTGTTTTACAGGTTTTACGGTATACGAAGTTGTCAACTGATAATTTTCTAAATTTCTTTGTTTTCCGTTCTCGTCTGAACTGACATAATTGAGAATAAAATTAAAATTGACGCCTTCTTTTTTTAGGTTTTCGGAAAAATTAAAATAAAACGGTTACTGTATTCCCAGAATCCCAAGTTTTGACCTTTACCAACTCTGAAAATCTAAACTTTGGGAATGTTTTAAAACTGAACATTTTTCGTGTGAAATCTGGACGCCAGGGAGCCCTATCTCATTTCCTCTATCTCATCACACTATCCGTCATCTCCTCTCTCGATCTATCTATCTTTTCTCCTTTATTTTTCTATTTTCTCTGTGGCCATCATCTACAAAAAACAAAGGATATGTCGTGTAACTCGATCCCAGTGTATGTGTCTGCAGAAAAGAGTGTCGACGGGTGCCGAAACGGCGGCAAAATATTATGGATGGTGTGACAAGAAAGCTGCGGTTTCGGTGTCCCCCGGACCACACAGAAAACCTTTGCCGGTCCATTTTGATTGACTTATTTTGGAGCTCTTTGAAGAATAAAAAATTGGTGGAAAATCCCATTTTCCTTGCAGATATATAATCGCTTCAATCGCGTGCGCTTCCTTCCTTTTTTCCTATCCCCTAGTCCTCGTGTCATAATTGCCGGTGCCATAGAGCTCAACACCATCATTATCTTTTTGGCTTTTCTCCACACCCAACACGCAATATACCATGGACCTGGTCCTTGTTTTGAACCGAAACCTTTTCCATGTTATCTTTATCCCTCGAAATTTCGCCTTACTACTTCTTCCTTACCAAACAGGCGCCGCAACCGTTATCTTTCAAGTGGCTAGCCCCTAGTGCACATCCCATTCGTCCTCTAATCAAACAAGGAGCTAAAGGAGAAGTATAACCAATCACTTGCCTTGCACAATAGAAGAAATCGGGGGTAGGAAGGTTAGAGGCTAAAGAAGTAGTAAAAGAGTAAAGTGGTATTGTCTAAGAGAAAGAAAAAAAGCAGCTTTGTAATGGATCTAGGGGGATTGTCAAGTGAAAAAGTACACTGCACTCAGACTGTGAGGTCAGTGAGGTCAAACTGAATATCAGGGGCAGATGTTCCAAGTAGATCAAGTGTTTCGGATTAGAAGATTTTTTTTAGTATGGCCGTTCTTGTTTTTATATTTCAGGTTTCTTTTCTAAAACAAAAAGATCTTTTCAAGCTCAATATTCTTCTAGAAAAAAACAATTTTTTTTCATTTTTTAACAGCTTCTTCACGTTTCTTGGCTTTTTGAGAGTTTCATATCCACCGTAAAACGGCCACCCAAACCGTCAACTTCGAGGCAATATATCTCGGGTTTTTCAAAAAATATAAAAATGATTTTAACTGATAAGTTGTTTATCATAAAATTATCAATATTTCATCAGTTGCCAAAATTTTGGTTGCTTTCACAAGAACCGAGATTAATGGGCTCCAAGATAAAGTTGGGGGGCTCATTACAGTTTTTTTACGGTATTTAATTGCAAGATTTGGGAATACTGTAGAAGTTGCTGGTTGAGTTCCCTGTTTTTTTTTGAAAAAAAAAGAACTTTGAAAATGAATGGAATGTCATTTAAAGGAGGCGAGACAGCAAAAATTTCGGGGGACAGTTCGGGGGACGAAATCGCGCCGCGCTTATGTAGACCATCGGTCGTCAGGCGCCTTCGCGCCCCCGTAGCTCAGCCGGTAGCGGCGCTGTACCCCTAAGCTGCCTGTCATGAGTTCAAATCCTCATGGGAATTCTCTATGCAACATATCAGGAAAACTTTTTTTTGGTGTCTGGCCTCCTTTAAAAAAGTTTAGTTTTCCTATGACTTTCCTGGGAACCATTTCAAGACCACCTTCATATTTGGGAAAACAACTAACTAGAAAATGAAACCTCAACTAGAAAAATCCATATTTGAGTTCTGATCCTGTTTAATTACTCTCCAATTTTTCGATTCCCTGAATTCGACCTAGGAAATGCAAATTCTTCGCTCCTAAACCAAAACTTCTTCCCACGTTCCCAAAGTGCTCATTCTGTCTTATTTACCTAATCTCTTGCTCTTCGAGCCTCCTCCCCCGGCAGCGCCAATTCTCGCAATTTAGGTGTACATCATTTCATTGTCATTTCCCATTGAAAAACGAACCACCCGAGTGTGTTTTGATGAAAAATACGACCCCGTCTCTTTGCTTTAATCACATTTGTAAACTTTTCTTAAATAGAGTGTACGGCAAAATTTTTTTACATCACTGGGTACATAGTAAAAGACTACTCAAGTATCACATTGGCTGTGTCCAATTTCCAGAGTTCTCTCTTGTTTTCACATCTCTTCGCCACCTACATCATAATCACAATAATCCAAACCGTAATCCCAACATCTCTCTTTCTGTCTGTCTGTATAGCGCATTTTCTATGCATCCTCACGTCACCTGTATTCTATTCCCTCTCCATAAACCGATTACCAAACCTTGGTGTCTTTTGAAAGTTGTAGAGAATCTAGTTCGTACATGTACATCACCCTATTTTGATCTCATTCGCCAATAAATCTGCTAAAACCCCCAATTTCACAAAACAGCGACATTCAATAGTTGTGAGAATGAACTCTGCATCTGAAAACTGGAAAGAAAAATAGAGAAAAATAAAACGAGAGGAAAGAATAGGGCCGAAAATCCCAATGCCATATTCATTTTCCTGTTGCTCCTTCCTGTTTTTCCCGTCTTTTCCCTCTATGAATGCTATTTTGTCGTTATTTTTTTGAATAGCAAGAAGAAAAAAGTAGATCTTAACATTCTCACCCTACGGCTTCTTCTTCTCATTATTCTTTTGCTCCATTACATTTGAATCATCTTATCAGTAGTGCGTAAAAGCTCAGTGGAGCAGCAGAAGCCAGGGGCAGGTGGGTCAGTAGCAGCGGTGAAAAAGTTTTTAGGGGAGAGAAAAAGAGTAGGAGAAATAGAGACAGATCGCGTGTCGCCAGATTAATAATGATATATATTTAGAGGCGAGCAGAAATAGAGAGTTAGAAATAGAAAAGGAAAACTTTTTTGTTTGTCTCCAGCATCTCCCATCGTTCCGATTTGACGGAGAGCAACTTGTAACCTTTTTTTCTGGCTTTTTAATATTCTAACAAACTGATAGATGCTCTAAAGGTCTAGACTCGATAATCAGCTAGTATTTTTGATAAGCTCATGAAGATTAGAACTTTACGCTATCACACTTATTATAAAGTCCGATTGGTTACTCATATCCCACTGGAGTCTGTGTCTTAAAATCTGATTTTTAGATTTTTTTTTCTCATTTTCAGATCAAAATTGGAATTTTGAAAAATCGTTCATTCTTTTCCTATAGGTGTTCGGAACTTCTGAAAGTCACATCGCGTGTGTTCGGATTTTGTTTTCAATTTCAAATTTTTGGCTGGTTTCCTAGACTCTCACTATTGCCTTTTCGATTTCCTCTCTCTCCCCCATTGCAATAATCCCAGATAGGATTAAAAATTTCGACGTATTTCTGAACGTTCTCATGACTTTTTCTCAATCCCTCTTTTCAATTCATGATGCTCAAATTGTATAGAAAACTCTTTCGCAAAAAACCTTTGAAAGATCAAAAAGTTTCGATTTTCCCATGAGCAGCAAAAAATCTAGAGCCGAAAGAAAAAAAATGTGGGTTCAATTAGCGATAAAATCTATCGAAAATCTAGCAGCGAATGAAACCAATGGGCGGAGTTTTTGAAATGCATGAAACCAGAAGTTTTGTCCTGTTATTCTTCAAATTATGTAAAGTTAGAACAAACTGTCCTATTCTTCTTCCTATTTTACTTTTTCGAGTCGTTGAGAGATAAGGCCAAGCCAAAGATAAAAGTTAGGAGGAAGGAAGTTCAAGTGGTGCCCCCACCGGGGGCGCGTAGTGTGTACCTCCTTCAGACCGTTCGGCGCTTCTCTAAATGTCTTCTTCTCTCTCCATATATCCCCGGGGGTTCCGCCCCAATACATCCTCATCCATAGTGCAGCAGCAAAAAGAAGAAGGAAGAAGAAGATAAGGTAGAGTACGTGGTGGAGCAAAAGTCGAGTTGAACCCCTACCCGATAGGAAGATCCTCTTTCTTTTCTTCCCTGTGCTAACTTCTTTCTTTTTTTCTTCATCATTACACCAGTCATCATGTTCTTCTTTCAAGCATTTTTCCTCTTTGTGTTCCCTTCTTATTCTTCATATATCTTCTGTGTTTCCACCACGTTTTTTCCACAAAATTTTACTCGTCATTTCCCCGCGCCGGTGCTGTTTTTATCAACGTTTTATCCAATGCTTCGGCACCAGAGGGATAGGAAAAGCGCATATAATCTTTTTTTCGAATCTTTGCTCTTTTTTTCTCCAATTCTTCAGAGAGGAAATACTTCCGAATTTCTCTCTTCTTCATCTCTTTCTAGCTCATTCATCTTGTTTCATTGGCAGTTGTTACAATTAGGCCAATTGGTCTTGATTGGAGTTTTGATAGGCTTTAAACTAACACTTTTGATTTTTTTTTCAAATCTGGAACATATATTTTTCGAATGAAATATGTCATGCAATGTTTTTCTGTTCCCTATCTCAGTTTCTAGCTCTTCTTTGCTCATTTATAATGACCCCGACACTACCACCTCTCTCGTCACCTCTATCCAATAACACCTGCTTTTCACTTTTTCATGGGTTTTTGGTTTTCGTTTTTCTTTTACTCTATTATCTGACATTTCGCGATTTTCTCACTCTAATCGTCATCATTTTCAGTTTAATGACTCGCCTAGGGTGTTGGCTAGCAGTAGCCGCTCTGGTGGCCCTCGCCGGACTTGCAGATGCTGGATCCAACTGTTCCGCCGCCGACGCCACTAGAAACTGCATCGATGGACTTGTTGTACCAATTTGGTAAGGTTTTTTTAGAAATATTGAAAATTTTCTTTAAAAAAAAACTGAGATCCTTATGGATCGTTTCTAAAATATCCCAAAATCTTGATCCCAAAAACAATTCTGAACTCTCAAATCTAACAACATCATTCCCTCACTTCATAGACTCATTGAGCACCCAGAAGAATGATGTGTAAATGAAAGTGAAGAAGAATCGTATGAGAAACATCTGGAAATGAGAATATAAATCAAGTGAGACTGATCGGTTTTTCTCCGGTCTCGAGACTCTTTCGAACGCGAAAAATCAAGAACATGTGTGAGAAGATTCGAATACTGAAATCAAGAAAAAAGTTGAATCAAGAAATAAATCGTTATCATTTGTAGGAGGCCATTCTTGGATCTGACGACAGGCGACCGAGTACTTCGTGGAGTACTGTACTTCTTCGTCATCGCCTACATGTTCTTGGGTATCTCAATCGTCGCCGACAGATTCATGAGCTCCATCGAAGTGATCACATCAATGGAACGAACGATTGTAGTGAAACGACCGGGACTCGACCCGATGGAAGTACAAGTGCGCATTTGGAACGATACCGTTTCCAACTTGACACTTATGGCCCTCGGTTCATCTGCCCCAGAAATTTTGCTTTCTATTATTGAGGTGAGATTTTGAGATTTGATACATATAGCTCACTTCTTCTATGCATTCCAGGTTATCGCTAGAGGATTCGAAGCTGGAGACCTTGGACCAAACACCATCGTCGGTTCAGCCGCTTTCAATCTATTCATGATTATCGCCATCTGCGTTGTCGTTATTCCAAAAGGAGAAATCCGACGTCAGAAGCATTTGGATGTATTCTGCGTTACCGCCACCTGGTCCATCTTCGCCTACGTCTGGCTCTACCTGATCCTTGCCTTCTTCTCCCCAGGAGAGATTGAGATCTGGGAGGGACTTCTCACCTTTGTCTTCTTCCCATTGACCGTCGGAACTGCCTACATGGCCGACATTAAGATCATCCAGAACAGATTCTTGCCACACAGATACCGCAGAGGTTCTCATGGACAGATGATCGCCACAGAGGCTGAGGAGATGAAGATGTTGGAGAACGGATCCCCACAAGGAGCCGATCCAGCACTCAAGGCTTTCGAAGAGCATAGACAAGAATTTATCGAGTTGATGAGAGAGATCAGAAAACAGAATCCACACATTACCCCAACCGAACTCCAAAAGCAAGCCGAGTACGAAATGATCAGCAGGTATTTTTCGTATTCTCAAGAGACTGTTCTTAAAATTATCATTATTCAGAGGACCAAAGTCTCGGGCTTTCTACCGTGTCCAGGCTACTCGCAGACTCATCGGAGGAGGAGATATTGTAAAGAAGAGAATCGACAAAGAGCACAACAAGGCTCTTGATGCTGTAAGTTTGACGCATCTACTGGTAATGTTATTCTCTACTTCGACTAAAAGTTAATACACAATTCATCTTCTCACTTCTACATTTAGCATGATTCTTCACAAGGCAAATTAGAAAAAAGAAATGGTAGCTTACTTCTACTCTGATATCTATCTTGTCAGTACTGAATGATAATTAAGATGCAGGTCTACAGGAATGGTAAATAATTAAAAAAAACTTCTATGTCTTCTAAAAGAATATCCATATAATGGTGTGGTGCATCGCAAGGACTAACCCTAACTCTCTGAACACCTCGGCTAATTTCAGTTGGTACAGGCACAAGAGAAGCAGTTGCGTGACAACACTTGCAAGATCTTCTTGGATCCAGCTCACTACACTGTTCTTGAGAGTGTCGGATCTTTCGACGTTGTTGTTGGAAGGTTGGTTCCTAACCCATTTATTGGTGTTCAACTTTTCAACTTTTCAGAGATGGAGGACCAGACGGTCTCACTGTTATGGTTGACTATTTCACCGAGGATGGAACTGCCAATGCCGGAAGTGACTACATTCCAGTCAAGGGAACTTTGACTTTCTACCCAGAAGACAAACATCAAAAGGTCACAATCGAAGTTGTGGATGACGACGTTTTCGAAGAGGACGAGCACTTCTACCTTCGCCTCACCAACCTTCGTGTCCGCACCAAGGACGGAATTATCATCGATCCAACCAGAATCGGAGGACTTCCAGTTGCCCAACTCGAGATGCCAAACACAGCCACCATCATGATTCTCGATGACGATCACGCCGGAGTCTTCGGATTCGACCATGATCACTTCCAAGTTGTTGAGAACTGCGGACACTTGTCACTCCAGATGAAGAGACACTCTGGTGCACGTGGAAAGGTCGTCATTCCATTCAGGTATGTATTGCTGTCTCTTTCGATGATTAATTTCGGTGGCGCGGGAAACTGTTTGGGGTATGGGTTAATTTAGATGGGAGAGCTTCTTCTTTCCGCGAAGAGAGTAAGTGCGTCATTTGAGGACGGTGTTTACACGATGCTTGAGAAATTTTGCGAGAGATTTGAGAGAGCAGTAGAAATAGTTTATTTGATTAATGATTGGGGTTAGGGAAAGAAACGGTAGAAAAGAAGGCAAAAACGACAGTGAGTACAGACTAATTGAACTATGACCTGAAGTTGAATACAAGAGATGCGGGGGGACAGAAGAAAAATGTCGAGCAAGGTATTTACAAGAAACAGGATATTTCGGATCTTATAAGTCGGAGATCTGAGGTTTAAGGGAATGGGAACCTAAGAAGCTACAGTGAATAAAAACCTGATCTATTTCCAGAACCATCGAAGGAACTGCTCAAGCCGACAAGCACTTTGAGATGAAGGAAGGAGAGATCGTTTTCGAGGATAACCAAACCGAGTATGACTTCTTAGAAACAATCCATATAGGAATAGCCTAATTACCCTAAAACCTTCTCAGAGCCACGATCGACATCGGAATCATCGACACCGAACAATACGAACGCTCCGACTACTTCTACATCGAGCTCTCCCCACCAATCTGGGCCAAGAAGATGAATGGTAAGTTCAATCGAAAGTCTAATCCAAAACAATACAAACGCTTCTACATGCACACGACCTAGATATGGGTTAATTCACTATAAAAACAACAACAACAAAACATAATAATAATCACCCACTTCATTATCTATTATCACCTCATCGTCTTATCAATGTTGTGTTTGTGATTGACTCTTTCTCTCTAGACTTGTCACGCATCCAAGAGCGCTTCCAACGTCGTATGGAACGCAAACGTGGATCTTCAGTTGCTTCAGAATCCAAGGACTCGAACACCGAAACCGGTAGGTGATGTTGTATATTTATTGGGCAAATGAGCACTGATTGAATCCACAATTCAGAGCCATTTACCCCCGAGGTCGTGGTACCAAACGCTTCTGTAATTAACATGTCAATCCTCAATATCTTTCTGGGTACCCAGCTTCAGATAGTCTGTAGACAATTTTAATTTCAATTCCTCCATATCCTCTTCCACCTACACCCTGACTGTCTTCCCCCCTTATCACCCTTTCATACTTATTCACAGCACTTGCTCCTACCGACAAGTCGACGAGAGCCGCCAGTGTCGACTTGCTGCAACCATGTTCGGATCCACGCCGCTCGTCACAATCCAACTCACCTCACCTCACAAGTCGATTCAGAAATCGTCTTGGTTCATGGATCGCTGGAATGAAAGGCGGTAACGGTTTGTGATCCATTGGAATTGCTTATGTGTTTCTTTTCGCATGCATCAATATCTGTAATTCTGTTCCACACGCTAACACACGCCTATCAATCTGTTACTGTTGAGTTTATTGAGAGCCACTGGCTTGGTTTTCTTTTCCTGTTACTTTTTTATCAGCACTTCTGTAATCTCGTCTAATAATTTCTATTCAGGAGATGATGAGGTCACAACTGCCTTGACTCCATCACAACTTGAAATCGCTGAGATGGGAAAACCAAGACTCGGAGAATTCACCAAGTGCCAAATCACTATTAGAGAATCCAAGGAATTCCAGGTACTCCTCTATTACTTCTGATACGTTTCATCTATGCTATAATTCAGGGAATCGTCGACCGCATGATCAAGAATGCCAACACTCGCATCATGCTCGGAACTCACTCATGGAGAGAACAATTCATGGAGGCTCTCGTTGTCTCCGCTGGAGACGATGATGATGATGATGAGGAAGGAGATGATGGAGAGGAGAAGGAGCCAGAGGAGCCAGGATGCATGGACTACTTTATGCACGTTCTTACCGTTCCATGGAAGCTCACCTTTGCCACCATCCCACCAACTGACTACATCGGAGGATGGGCCACATTCGTCGTTGCCATCTTCATGATCGGAGTGCTCACCGCTGTCGTTGGAGATCTTGCCTCTCAATTCGGATGCTGGGTTGGGCTTAAGGATGCCGTCACCGCCATCTCTTTTGTCGCTCTCGGAACCTCTGTCCCAGATACATTCGCCTCAAAGGTGTCTGCCGTCCAAGACAAGTACGCCGATAACGCCGTCGGAAATGTCACCGGATCCAACGCTGTCAACGTATTCTTGGGTATCGGAATCGCCTGGTCAATGGCAGCCATCTACCACTGGAACAAGGGAACCAAGTTCTTGGTTGACCCAGGAAATCTCGGATTCTCCGTATTGATCTTCTGCGTTGAAGCTCTGTTGTGTATTGCAGTTTTGGTGTTGAGAAGAAGCAAGAAGGTTGGAGGAGAGTTGGGAGGACCAACTGCTTTGAGGGTGAGTCACTATATATTGAAAATATTCTGTAGACCAAATTCTATTTGTTTTCCATTTTCAGTGGATGACCTCAATGTTCTTCTGCTCACTCTGGTTAATGTATCTTCTCCTCTCCGCTCTCGAGGCCTACTGTATCATCCCAGGCTTCTAAAACCGGCACTTCGTCAGTCAGAGCTCCTTCAATTTTTTCGATCGCGAAGAAGAAGGAATCTGACCCACGTCGTCGTCAGTTACCAACATCAAAAATCAACCTGAAATCTCTTCAAAAAGCCAATTCAATTCATCATATCACCGCATTTATCAATTTGCCGGGCGTTTCTCTCAGTTTGCTCATTGCACACTGTGTGCAACTCTCATCAAAAAAACTTCCGTTGCAAAACACTTTCCGAACTGTTTCGCTTATTTTTCCCCTCCTTCTATATCTCTCTTCATCTCTCTCTTTTTCCAAAAATGGATGAATGTCCTTTTTCTCTCTCAATCTTCTTTAGGATACGATAATTTTTTTCTTGGTGTAATTTTTTTTTCAAATTCAATAATGAGTTTTACGAGTTGTCAACCCAAAACGTTTCTCTGGAGTTTCAAAATTAGGGAATTAGTTGGAATCTCCCGGACGATTCGTTCTCACCCCTTCAATAAAACATTGTTTCATTTCTGGTCGACAAAGGTGCCTAAATTGTTTTTCTTGTTTCATTTCTCTTCAAAAGCTTCCTTCTTCTCTTCCTCCACTTTCACCTATTTTTCTTGTTTTTCTTCTCACTTTGTGATTTTTTCTTCTACTTTTCAATTTTTTATCTGGAGTTATATCATCTAGAATACTCTTCCCCTTCTCTTTCCTCTAGTTTTTTTCCCCTCTCCTTTTTCAGTTATTTTGTCCCCCTGCTCTTGAAATCTCTCACCTCTTTATGTCTTCAGTTTCATTGATGAATAATTTCAAATTTTAAACGATTTATATAATTACACAAGAATTTACATGAAGGGGGTTTTGAGCATACTGCGCATACCGGACTCTAGTGCCACCCAAACCGTCAACTTTGAGCTAATATATCTCAGTTCCTGGGAAAGATATCAAAATGTGGTCAACTGACAAAATTCTAATCAAATCACTTTATGATGTCTTTCACGAAAATTGGGATACCTTATTTCCTCTAATAGAAGCCCACCTCTAATAGAAACCCACCCCGCGAGGTGCTTCGAAAAATACAGGGTGGATTTTAATTACCCGTGCACAACTTTGGCGCCATGGTTCTTGATGCTGGCGTGCACTTAGTGCAGCAAATGTTTTTTATTGATTCATTGATTCATAATTGATATGTTTGCCAAGTTTGAGCCTTATTGGTTGAGTTTCAGGTAAAAGACAAGCCCTAACGATAAAGAGACAGATCCATTGTGTTATCCTCTTCTCTTCGTAGATGGAAAATATGAATGGCACGTCAATCAACAAAGACAGGACGGGCATGGAGGAATGACCAAGATGAGTGCTCGGGAATTCTACTCCTACTATCTACACATTTGTCCGAACTTTTCTCCACTTCACCACGCAAAAAAGCTTTTCCAACAGTTTTACGTAGATGTATGGACAAAAATCGAACAGGATCGTCTCAATTTCATCCGAAAACATCAGGACCAACTACGAATTGAATCAGTACAATGACTGATGGATCAGATCAGTGCAGAAGATGATGGTCCATGCGGAAAAAGGATCTTTTTGCCAAATACTTTTACCGGATCCCCAAGGCATTTTGTTTCACTTTACAAGATGCTTTGGCCGTCGTATCCAGATTTGGAAAGCCTGGTTTGTTTCTCACGATCACATGCAAACCAAGCTGGAAAGAAATCAGAGAAGTATTGCTCCCAGGTCAAGAAGTTGTCGATCGTCCGGATGTGGTTTCACGAGTCTTCAAATTGAAGATCGAAGAATTAAAAATAAGACCTGTTCATTAAGAACATCTTTGGGAAGTAGCAGCCTGGATTTATGTCATTGAATTCCAAAAGCGAGGCTTACCACACATGCATCTTCTGATGATTTTGAAAAACGAGTGGAAGCCTAGGTAACTTTGAAATCATGAAAATAACAAATTTAATTTTGGAAAATTTCAGAACGGCTTCTGAAATCGATCACATAGTTTGTGTTGAGCTTCCGGATCCAGAAGAAGATCCAGAACTTTTTGAAATTATCTCCAGTGTGCAAATGCACCGACCATGCGGAATATACAACCCAGGTTCATCCTGTATGGTTGGTGATGCCTGCTCAAAACATTTTCCAAAAGAGTTTCGCGAGAGAACTTCTGTTGAAAACGATGGATTTCCGATGTACAGCCGACGGGACGATGGAAGATCTGTCTCTTTCAAAATCAATAATTTTGGAGTCATTAAACTGGATAACAGAAGCGTGGTCCCATACAACAAGTATCTGTAGTAGAAGACGTTGTGGACTGTCGAGGTATCTATTATGTTGAGATGCCAGAACATTTCCAATTCACCAAAGGAAAATGGACTCTGAAAAAAAAATGCTACACGATCGATCAGAAGAACGCATTTCGTGTCTCCGAGAGATCAGGAAAGATTCGCATTGAGACTCATGCTCCTAAACGTCACTGACGCCAAATCTTATTAAGATTTGCAAACCGTTGGAGGTGTCATCTATGAGAAATTTGTGGATGCTGCTAAAGCTGCCGGATACTTGACCGAGGACATTTTCTATGAAAAATCATTGGAAGAAGCAGCGTCATTTCATTCTGCACCACAACTGAGAGGATTCTTCGTCACTCTATTGATGTTTGGGGAGATCCACAATGCTGAAGAGTTATGGTACAGGTGAGAAATCAAAAAAGGATTTCGAATTTCGTAAATAATACTTTTTTCAGATTCGTGGATGACTTCTCAAAAGACTTTGTATACAAACACTTCCCAAAAGAAAAAGCCGAAGCTCTCGCTTATAATGATCTTATTGATCGAATGAATGCAATGGGAGAATATAGACGAATGGATGAGTCTTGAATACGAGAGGATCATTCCAGAAGATGTCATTGATTTTGATACCTGTTCAAAAAAAGGAGATCGGATGAGATCAACGTTGGTAGCAGAGCAAGAAGAAGTTGTGAAGGCAGTTTTGGATTCGGTGAAAAGTGGAGGAGGCCTTATTTACGTGGATGGGCCAGGAGGAAGTGGCAAAACATATGTATACCTTACTCTTATAAACATCCTCCAAGGTATGCATCTTAAAGTCATTCCGATTGCGTGGATTGGGATCGCTGCATCTCTTTTGCCTCATGATCTTTACTTCGAAACGGGTCTGATGTTTCTGAAATCTCCAAAGTGGCTATTCTCTTTCCAACCAATCAACAAGCACTTCAAATGAACCAAAAAGTGATGGAAATGATTCCAGGAGAGATGACGACGTATTATAGTGTAGATTAGGTCGGAGACAACCAGAATAGTCACTCTGATGCGGCCAACTTCCCAACAGAATTTTTGAATAAAATGACTCCATCAGGATTACCACCCCACAAATTGGAGCTGAAAGTTGGTGCATTGGTCATGTTGCTTCGAAACCTTGATGTTCGAAACGGACTGTGCAATGGAACCCGATTGGTAGTTCGAGAAATTGGAGAACGGGTACTCAGATGCGCTTTTATTTCGGGACCAAACGAAGGTGGAGACGTTCTGATCCCAAGAATCAAACTATCTTTCGATTCGGGGATTCCATTCGTGCTCCAAAGGCGTCAGTTCCCAGTTAGACCTGCCTTCGCTATGACCGTAAACAAGGCACAAGGCCAAACAATCGATCGCATCGGACAGCTCCTGGAAGCTCCGATTTTTGCTCATGGGCAACTATATGTTGCACTAACAAGAACAAGAACAATGGATGGAATTAGAATTTAGGCTCCGGACAAAATTATGCACAACATCGTTTACAAAAACATCATGTAGTTGTATTTACGGCTTAAAATGTTCAACCGATACTGATTTTTTTAGATTTTTCAATTGTTCTGTTAATTGAATTGTTTTACTAATAACCGATTTTTGAGCCACTGATTTTTTTTCACAATTATCATTTTCTAGAAATTGAATTGTAGATCTCATTTTTCTAAAACATCTTTTTTGCATTTGTTGATAGTTTTTACATTGTTTTTTCTAATCATTTGTTCTATTAATAAAGAACCAAAGAGAAAAAGAGTGTCCGAATTCTTCAAGTTTAAACGGAAGCCAGTGGAAATCGCGGTGTAGCCGCGAATTTTCACTGGTTGAAGCTAAGACCAAAAACTGAATCATTTTCTAATTTTCGCCGTAGTTCTAATTCGCCTTTTATCTCAAACATTTTGTTTGAAAAAAGAACAGAGACGCAGAACGATTGGGCAAATGATATAAGTCTTTTTCTCTTGTTACGAGATAAACGAAAAAATTTGTGTAGTTTCTGCCGATTATCGTGCTCTCTGCCGGTTATCAATATTATTTTACTTTGATAGCACAACACACATTTTTGGATGACTGATGCTTTATTCATTTCTTTTAGTGTTTAAAAAATTGAGATCTAAGAATCTGCAGTTGAATGACATTAAAAGGAAAATGAAAAGTTTTTGAAAATTGAAAATTTTTAAATGTATTACGTTAGACGATAGTTCGGGGAAATTGTCTCGAGTTTCTTCTACATACAGGGTGGCTGTGAATTACCCGCAAAAAAGTTTGATGCCATGGCGTAGACATCTGGTGCGTTTCTCGTAGCTATAGTTTTTTTCGTATTGTTTATCAACTTTTTTTAACCCCATTTCAAACAAGGGCAGAGCCGACAGTCCATCGTAAAACGTCTCCGGATTCCAAGCCGAACCGTTTGTGATCAGAATTGCACGGACAGAGAAGTTTTTTTACGGACAACGGACAGGGACATCGGACAATTGACAAAACATTTTTTGACGGACAACGGACACGGAAAACGGATAGCCAAAAATGTCCGGACTACGGACTACGGACAACGGACACCGCACAAAATTTTCCAAAATCTACGAGTTGTTGCTGAAAAAATAGAATTTAGCGATGGAAAATAGCGAGGGAAAAGAAAAACGGACCTCATCCATCATTTTTACTCCTTTTTCTGAAAATTGAATTTGAAATTTTTCTGGTAAACGGACGGACAAAGGCAATTTCTACGGACAACGGACACCGGACAAAACATTAAAAAAAATGTACACTGCATTGCATTATCGATGTCTGTCGAACGGATTCGTGAGAGGACCATTTGGATATATTCGTTTCGAAGAGTGTCCAATCGTTTATGGAAAATAACTCGATCTAAGTCCATTAATTAAAATTCCTTCTAACGATAAACCTCAATAAAATTTTAAAAACGATACTTAAGAATCACAAAATATGCATAACAAGACACACCCTCAGATTGTTAAAGATTTCTGTAAATTTTTAACTTTCAGATTGTCTGAGTTCCAAATTACCGAATCTCTAAATTTAAAAAAAAATTAAAAATTTTGAAATTTCTGTACTCTTTTGTATATCCGGATTTTATGAATTTCAAATATCCATAAATACACGTTTTCAGATTTTTCTGGAATTTCCTATTTTTCAAAAATTAAAACCTTTTCTACATCGTCAGACCAGGCAGGTAAAATGTTTATGACGTTTGATTGTTTGATTTCAGAATTCCAGCATACCGTTTTTTCAGCCATAATAATGAGAACAAATGATGAAAAGATTCAATAGAACCATTCATTCTCATCACCGACAAGCAATCAATTGTTCCCCAGAAGAGTATAAAATCAATCAGGTTTCTTAAATTCAAACCAAACATTTTTTCTGTTGAGCATGGTAAGGCGTTTTGAGTATACAAATATTCGAAAACATCAGAATATTTTCCAGAAGTTCTTCATTCTTCTCAGTGCTGCTGCCTTCTTTGTCTCTACCATACTTAGTGCACCTTTAGAGGGTCAATGCGGGCCCAACGAAGTCTTCCTGCATTGCGGGAGTGCCTGTGAACCGAGTTGCGAGGTCCCAGTGATCGAAATCTGTACTTTGCAGTGCATTCTCGATATCTGTCAATGTGCGAACGGATTCGTGAGAGGACCATTTGGATGTGTCCGTTTCGAAGAGTGCCCTCCAATTGTTTATGGAAAATAACTCTTCATGAAAAATTATATCTCAACATGAACCGCAATAAAATTCAAGAACGAAACTTGAGAATCACTTAATATGCATTAAAAGGAAAACGTTTTGTGTCATAACTTTCAATTTTCCCAGAACAAATCTCTGTAGCCGGGTCGAACAGATCAAGGGTCTTAATTCTCATTATCGCATCCATTATCGTATTTGTGTCACCGAAAAGGAATGAAGTAAACAAGGTTGGTGTAGAAGTTAGCAGAACATTTCTCAACACTGCCGTTTTTTGTATCTCTTTTTCTCGCAAATGATGACTTATTTAGCCGTAACCATTTTGGTTTTGATAATTGGTGCAGAGTCAGGTAAGCTGAGTTTATGTTGTCAGAAGATCTATGGTACCAAATTGGTCCAAAAGTTAGTGAAAAGAATTGCAAGTTCGGAAAAGTTCGTATATATTATTTTGAATAGAATTGTTTCAAACACTCATTTAAAAATTTGAGGATACTTACAAAATCGATTTTTTTGTTATAATTATCTTAAAACCTGTAATAGAAGGGCCCCTAATTTTAAGCTTTGAGCCAGTGTGTCATACTGTCAAGTTTGAGCCAATTTATGTCGGTTCCTGTCAAGGATATACAAAAGTTGTCACATAATAAATTGTTCATCATAATCTCTCAAACATTTTATCAGTTATCACATTTTCGATATCTCGTAAAAAGTTCAAGAAACATTAGCTCAAGCTTTACAGTGTGGGGCCCTTCTTTTACAGGTTTTACGGTTAACGTGTTATGAGTTCAGTACAGCAGTCTCAATTTTTCAGTTTTCGAGTCTAGCTTTTTGAATTTAACCCCCAAAACCATATTTCCAGGTAAGGAACATATTGCTGGAGCCTGCCATGATCCATTGGATTTTGGAAAATCACCATGTGACAAACAGTGGTCGATTAGAGTGAGTACACTAGCTCATTACACTACCTTATTACAAATTTTCAATTTCCAGTACCATATGGACGTTTCAACTGAAACTTGCCTCGCCTTTAACTTCACCGGATGTGGTGATAACTGGAACAATTTCGCCACATCGCAAGCATGTTATGAGGGGTGTCTTCCATGTAAGATTATTATTCTGGAAGCCTAAAATTAGTTTTTGTACATGTTTCAGTAGACCATCACAAGTGTCCAGCAGCAAGTACGATTTATAAAACTATTAAAGGAAGAACGGCGTGTAATGATGATTGTGATTGTGGTAAAGGCAAGTATTGTGACATTGGACATGGTTATGGGCAGTGTTGTGAGCAGGAGTATAAAGGTGAGTGCTTGTTTTTCCTAAAATCGAAGGATTCATGTTTTTAGACAAAGTGGATTCTGATTACAATCCTCCTTGCCCACCAGGTCAGTCAATTGTGCGAGAAAAATTAAATGGAATTACGGTTCAATTAATTGGTAAAAAGTGTACTCATAATTTTTGTCCGCTAGGTTCGAATTGTTACGATGGTCATTTTTTCGCTTCCTGTTGTATGTAGCTTTTCATCGTTTGTTCGACGAAATAAAAGTTTTATGATCATGGTTTCTTGTTGAAGCATTGTTCGATTTCCTCTGCATACATGCCCGCGATCCCCCAAATTTACCATCTGTTACCTGGGTTATTGATTCATGGAGGTCAGTATATTAACAGCTTGTACTGAAAATATTTAAAATTGCAGACCTACCACCACAATGTACTGCACCGCTTGTTATGAAATCCAACAGCTCAGACGACAGAATCAAACCAAAACTAAAGTTTCATTTTGACAGAACGACTGGATTTTGCATGAGTTTTCTAGAATTTAGAAAACAAGATAATAGTTTTGATAACATTGCCGCATGTACATCTACTTGTTTAAGAAGTAAGCTATTCATAAACTTCCGAAAATTCAAGTATTTGGATTTCCAGACAACTATAAAGGTTGCCCATTCCAACGAAATCCAATAATCCCGATTCATTGTCACAGCAACAAAGATTGTAACCAACAGAAAACCAGAAAAAGCTCGAAAACGTTATATTGTACAAGAGAAGGTACCTGTTGTGACACGAAAGACTTGAGTAAGCTCCTTTGGTCTTGTAGAAGATCTAGTTTTTGTTTTCAGAAGAGTTGAGGACTGAATTCAATGTGACCTGTCCATGGGGTGGGCAAAAAATCCAGTATGCCTATAAAAGTTCCACTAGGCTTTTGATTGGAAAAACCTTCGATTCCAAAATGTGTCCGACGAATTCCACATGTCATCAGTCGAAATATTTTGCATACTGTTGTCAAAATCATAATTTATGAGTTTAAAAACGCATAAAAGTTATTCAAAATACATTAAGTCAATATCAATGAAAATAATACTTGAAATGGCAGGGGGATGGGGTATGTCAAAAATTAAAATGTCTGCAAAATGGAAACAAAACGGTTTTAACACTACAAGGGGAATCACAAATTTTGGATGTACGAAAAGTCACATTGGGGTGCAAATCCATAGGGGGATGGATAGTAAGGAGGGATGTCGAAAGTGTTCGGGATGGATGGTGGGACAGGGCTATCAAGTTCGAGTGGCGTTGGTTTCGATTCGCATCCAGATGAGCCATCATCGCTGTCGTTGGATCGGGCAGAGCTTCTGGAAATTACTTTGGTGATTGAAATGGTAAATCCCGGAAACATTTTGATATAATATATCTTTTACAAGAAGTGAGCTATGGGATCAAAGTTTATGGTTTGGTAGGCACTCTATTAGAGTACGGTATGCGCAATATGGCCGAAATCTCGTTCGTTCGAATTCTTGTATAATTGACTCACAATTGGATCAAAATTGAAAGTAATGGGCTCTTTTTTTATAGGTGTTACGGTAATATTGAATTTTAAAATGCTGGTCAGTTAGGAAAAATGCTGAATCTACCAATCATACCTTTCTTCCCTACCCAACACCTTTCTTCCTAACGCTTGCTTTCGTATTGTTTGAGAAGCTCTTGTATATGTTCTGACAAGGATCTTCCTCCCCGGCGGCGGCACCTACACGAACAATGCGTATTGTTCGGGTAGCAGCCGAAGTGACGATCGTGTCAACGACTCTATTACTTCAAAGTTTGGGCAAACACTAATAACAGTGGGGAGCCCCCACTTCTGATGATGCTTCATCTTTGCACTTTTTTTTGAATTATAATTTAGAAATCCAAACGGACTGGGTACCGTATTCTTCTACACTAATCGTCAAACTTCTAATGACATCATAATCTGTCGCTCTGATTATGGCTTTCATGATGTCCCTTAACCATTCGCAATCTATCCGTTTATCCAAGTAATATGTCCGATTGCGCAATCAAATGCACATACACACATGCGTGCGCGTCTCTACACAAGTTGACCTTTCAACTCTCTCGGACCATACTCACCTATCCAACTGGCCAGCTGCTCGCTCACGCTGTCTCTTGTTTTTGAACCAATTGGACACCTGCAAAAGTTGACTTTTTGGATCAGTCTTAATGAGATAATCAGGAAGTAATAACTTACTTGAATAACAGAAAGATCCGTTTGATTGGCCAACCTCTTCTTCTCATCCACCGATGGATAGTTATTTTTCTTGTAGGCGTCACGAAGCACATTTCTTGATTTCGATTTAAAACAGTAATTGGTTTCCTCTCCGTCCCAAATTGAAGTTGGAAATGGATTCTTCTTACGGATACGATATTTGCAAACCGCGCCTAACTCCCTCTCCTTCGTTTTCTCAGCCTGAAAAAAGTCAACTGATAAATACTGCTGCCACGGAATTGACTCTCTTTAGCCCACAGTTACCTAATATTTATCTCAGATTCGCGGAATATGACATAATATTATCCAATGTTTGTTTATTGAACTGAACAAGTGGTCCCGGGATACACACAAGGGCCTAATCCACAGTAAATACCTGAGAAACGGATCTTACCTCTTTATAATGAGCATTGAGCCATAAGTTCTGAAGAACTGTATGGTTATGAGGGGAGAATTTATGACACTCCAGAAGTCTGTAAAGCGATTTCCAGTTCTGGGTGGAGTAGTAGACGAGTGCCTGGGCTTTCAAAGCAGATTCCATACTCTGGTAACATTGTGGAAGGTTGTAGATGAATGTTGCCTGTAAATTGCTTATGTGAAATTGTGAAAAACAAACGTTTGGAGGTGTAAATGAGAAGATTGAAATGAAAGGCTGGGAGACTTGAACTGAAATTCTATTTTTGAAACTGTTAATGAAGTTTGATTTTTCTAAATGTCCGATGACTATTTTTTTATCATTTTTTAACACTCCAGGATCAAAAACTCTCCAGAAAGTTTTATGCAATCGGAAGCTGTGAAATTTTCTCGGCCAACTTTCATAAGGCTGATGTTACTTTGCCGCCACTTTCTTTTAACCTTATGAGCAAAATATGATATTTGAATATTGACTACTTGCTCTTTGAGCCCTATAGCCTCTTCCCTCTCAAAATCTTCAACATCTGCTCCCTTCGGTTTTCACCGTCGTCGTCACCATCATCAAGCTTCCCATCCATAATGGACTTTTGTTTGCTTTATAGAAAGAAAAAAGAAAAGCACGCGAGCAGCAGCGCCATGAGGCCTACCGTACTCCTCTTTTCCGCCACCTTATTTCCTTCTGTCACCAATTTCTTGCTACTGGCTTGACTCTGACTCAAAACCGCAAGAAATTCGTGGATGATGATGAAAAGGCGGCAGAAAAGTGAGAGACTACGTCAAATGTTCGTCAAAACGGATGATAAGTGACACATGACACCTGCGTTCGAAGAGGGAAAAATCCGAGATGAAGAAGTTGGAAAAAGTGGGGGAGAAAATGATGAAAACCGACAAAGTTTTGGAAGAGAAAAATGAATTGGAGGAAAAAAAACAACACATTGGTAGAACGGAATAAATTCTTACCAATTGCTCAGTTCTTCCAGTTTGGAGTCCTTCGTTGAACAGTGACTCACAAATGCACACGATTTCTTGCTCCGAATATGATGTGGTAGCTCTGGAAATATTTTGGTAAATGGGTGTACAAAAATCAGAGAATTTAAAAAATCCCATCAAAAGTGAATACGGTTTCCCTAAATCTAGTCTGTTGAAGAAAAGAAGAGAGCCAGAAAACAGAAACCAGGTTGAACTAGATTGAGCTCAGAAATGAGCTCAGGGTGTGGAAAGGAATCCGCCTAAAGTGAAACTATCTCTGGCGCCACGACGAACCGCCGCCCCATCGGTGTCGCGTTGCCACGTATACAATTACCAAAGAAGATCGTAACCCGAGATCCCGAGTTGTGTCTCCTGCCTCCAGACACACGAAGTCTCAACTTACGTCAAGCTATTTGCCGGGTTATATGACTGCATGCTGAATAAGAAGCAATCAGATCAGAAGACGTCACTTCTGGAATAGCCGATTCTCTCCTCCGGACCGGTAGCGGACAGAAGGAGGTGGTGGTGAGTGGTGTTGTGAGTGAGCGTCGTCCCTCTTGTCTCGTCTCCTCTCCGGCTCTCCTCCCAGGCAGTGTATGCTCAGAGCTCCGCCTCTTTCTGCCTCTGGCGAATCGAATAAAAAGGCCTCCCATTGTTGGTACTGTACCTTTGGGATCATTATAGGTTCTTATCATGGAAAAACAGTTAAGGATCAAAATTTGCTCAAAAAATAAGGAGCCTGGTAATGGGAGATCTTGGAAGCGGGGGTGCTGCACCGGAGCGCACTGGGGAAGTAAGAGTATCCGAGGTTTGAAATTCTAAACTTGCCTATTATTTTCTCATTGCCTTCCTTTCCTTCTCGCTCGTTTCTTCTATCGGAGGAGCTCCTGGTTTTCTTTTCGGGTTGAAGTCTCACCCAGCCTGCCAATACAGACGAGAACCAACCTTCAGGCGTGGTGTTAGCAGGTAGACGGCCAGTTGGAATATCATTTTACACCTGTACCGATATCTATTTCACCAGCTTCAACGAGAGGGCCTCTCAAAACCCAAGATACCTCATTCACTTGTTATTCCCGCATTTCACGATGATGGTGACTGGCTTCTAGACTTCCCGGAATGCTAAGAGCTTGTTTTCTCTCGTCTCCTCATCTGATAAACATTTTCATTTGTTTTAATGTGACAGTATCTAACTTTTTTTGATTTTCCATAGTTAAGTGCCACAGAGAATTTTGTCTAGCATGATCCATTTCAGGTTCTAAATGTTGTCATTTGTTCAGTCGCATGAAATTTTTCGTCGACTCTTCTGAAAAACCGTAATGACCGTTAGTTTAAAAATATTGTTAAAAACCAAGTGTATCTAGGTATCTAAACAGTTTCACCATTTTTCGTTACCAGCTTGGTTTAGTGTTTTTGAAGTATCAGCTAAAATTTTGATGGTAACTCATACTGTAAAACCGGTTATGTATAGAAGAGCCCCCTAACTTTCAACTTTGAGGTACTTTATCTTAGCTCCTGTCAAAGATATAGCAAAGTTGTCAACTAATTAATTGTCTATCATAACATCACAGACATTTTATCAATTGACAGATTTTTGACATATCTTATATGGACCAAGATAGTTAAGCTCAAATGGACAGTGTGGGAGTCCTTCTATTACAGGTTTTTCTGAATTTCAACCAGCTCATATCCAGATGACTATCTACTAAAAGTTATAAATTGTTTTTAGATTGGCGAAAATGTCCATTCTCAAAACTTCTTTTTCTGTATCCATCTCTTCAGTTTGACTAACCTGTTTGCCTCAAACCCATTGTCCTCTTCACAAAACTCACCTTTCAAAGTGTCTTACGTAATCCCAACATTTGCTTAATTCCATGGGACTTTGGAAAGTTTCAAAACAATATAACGTTATTAACCCGGAAGCTTCATGCTCCATGTGTATCTTTCAATATTGAGAGCATATTGAGAGCATAACATGCGCGGGATAGTGGTACAGATGTCCTCCCCGATGGAAAAGGCGCCTTCTTGTCCAAACAATGGCAGATGATAACTGGTTGACACCATGTTTATGTACCACACATGTCCTTATGAAACAAAGAAGTGGTACTAGGACTCTTGTACCGTACTCATTCAGCTTCTGGTGGATCATGTTTATGGAGTAGCGTATTTTCGAACGAGATTTTTTGGCGAACTCGTGTTTCCTAGGCAATATATCGTAATTTTGATATTGAATATTTTGATTTTTGTACCAGATATCAAAAACAACATTTAAACGACAAGTCATATTGAGAAAATATACATACCGAAAAAACCTGTAATAGAAAACCTGTAATAGAAGGGTCCCCAAACTGTTCGATTTGAGTTCAATTATCTCAATTCCTATGCAATATATCAAAAACGTATCAACTGACAAAAACCTTCTGACATTATGATGGACAAATTATCAGTTGATTAATTTTTAATATCTTTGACCGGAACCGGGAAAAATCGACTAGAAGTTGAAAGTTAGGGAGTCCTTCTAATACAGGTTTTATGATAAGTAGATAAGATATATGTAGAATTCCCCGAAACACATGCTGAAAATTTCCTCTCAGTATTTTCCTTACAAATATTTTCCTTGTTAGTTCTTGTGCAATTCCCATTTTCCACAGAGTTCGATTCTTGTTCCTCCCTGCTTACACCTGTTGTTTGTCGTCTTACTGTAGCTCTATGTTGTTAACATCTCATAGCTTCCTGTTAATGAATATCACTCGTGTCGCTTGTCATCTGAATGTGCAATAAAATGATTGACAAGTGCCCTCCGGCTCATTCCCGCGCGCAAAATTCCATTCTCCAGGTAGATATGTACGCCAGGTAGGAAACCTCAAAGTGACATGACAACATTGAAATGTGTCATCGCCCCAACGAACTTTGCAACATTTTGCAGGCTATTCGAATTCCTAAACGATGAGCTGGGGGAGGGGGACTACTTGTGTTTATTTTTCCAAAATAATTTATCACTATGCGACGAGAAGAAGAGCAAATTCTAAACAAAACTTGCGTAACAATATGGGGAGATGTCTCCAAATTCAAATCTAAACAAATAGGTTCTCAGGTGACTTTCGCTTAACCTAAACACACCCACACTTTCTCATAATGAAACTTTTGGGATACAAGCCATTAAACGATTAAATCGGCTTATGATCACATTGGAAACAACACACATGTGGTCAGTTCGGTCACTTCAAAAGAGGTTACAGTGCGCGAACTTCTTTGCGACGACGACGAAGAAGAGGACAAGATGCTCCGGATCAAATTGCTTACTACTTTGTATATTTTTTAATCATCGTGAGAGCGGAAAGGTGGAGTAGTAGAAAACACCTGGGCGGTACCAATGAAATCGATGAGGAGGTGTAGATTGATTTATGATCGACTAATGGATATTTATGGAGCAAAGGAAAGTAAATATAAAAATGGTTGTGGTTCAATATTAAGTGGAAGTCAGACGATTTGTTTCAACTTGTGCTGACAATCCAAAAAACTGTACCCTGGGATGCATCTGAAACTACTTAAAAATTACCGTAAACAATTATAGCGTGCCGCACAAGCCGTCAATTTTGAGCTCAATTATCCCAATTCTTGTAAGAGATATCAAACATTTGTCAACTAATAAATTATTTATCATAAGTTCATCAACATTTTATCAGTTGACAACTTTTTGATATCTTTCACAGGAATTGAGATAATTGAGCTCAAACTTGGCAGTGTGGGGGCCCGGTTTTACGGGTTGCTGACAGTCAGAAAAGCTGGACCCTGAGATACATCTGAAACGACTTCAAAAATATGTTAATTTTATCGGGGCGTTCCAAATCGATTAAAAACACCAGCTGGATATTTCAGCGGCTACCATCATTTTCAGAAAAAGATTGTTGGCACTTTACAGGTATTTCTAGCCTAGAAGTGCTAGGTTATTTTCAGAAATTCCGTTCTCCCCGGTCCCAACGATTTCAACCAAGATTTTTTAAATTTTCAATGAACGAATCGATAATTCTCTGCTCCACTTGTATTGCTCACTCTCGCCGTCTACCGTAGTCTCGAAGGAACTGAGTGAGTGTGGAGGAAAACGCGTTTCGGGATCGAATTTCACCTATGGTCACACACACAATTTCCTACCCCCTTCCCTCCACTCACTATTTTTCTTTATTCCATTTTGTCTCAACACGCCGAATATTTTACATTAGCTTCATGCAAGAGTCAGTAGAAGAATAATTTTATGCACAGGGGGACTACAAAGATTGATAAGATGTACCGGCACCAATCATCATATCATTATAATTGACATAAAAACCAGGAAATGTTGCAGCTGCAGCGGCGGCGGAATATGTGGTTAGGTCGGCAGGATGATGGAAAGAGTTGGACAGTTTTGATGCCGTTTTTCGAAGAATTTTCAGATCTTCTTCTTCACTTAATGCAAGATCTTTCAAGGAGTCTCTGGAATCAATAGTTACAGATTTAACGATTCGCGGAGCCTACTCACTTTCCCTCGGGTATTCCAGCTCTATCCCGTTGTCTTCGATTTTTGAACCAGTTGGAAACTTGGGTTACTGTCAGATGTGTTTTCTCAGCTAGCTCTCGTTTTTCTCTTGGACTTGGGTATGAGTTCCGAACGTACCAGTCGCGAAGAAGTACTCGAGACTTGTCCTGGATAAATTTTTTTTCACTCGATGGAATTGGAATTAAATAAAACTTGCTCGAAAACAGTAACTAGTCTCCTCGCCATCCCAAATCGTCCTGGGCAGTGGATACTTTCTTCGAATACGATACTTCCCAACCGCTCCCAACTGTCTCCCTCTGATCTTTTCAGCTTCGTGATAATGTGCATTCAGCCACCATTCCTGGAGTGATAGGTGATGTTCTGATGCAAAGTGATGGGTTTCAATGATTCTGTACAGTTCCTGGAAATATTGTAAAGTGTAAAACTAAAAATAATACGGGTGAGGAAATTACCTTGAAATTGTTAGAATGGTAGGCAAGGAAGGCTTGCGCTTTCAGAATGTATTGGTTGTTCCGCATTTCATCTCGTTCCAGTGTGGTCCAGACGAATTGAGACTACAATTGAAAAATTTTTTTGGAACCCCTTGATTCAAACCAGTTGATATACATACCGTATAGAAAACTCAATTAAAAACCCCTAACCTTGAACTTTGAGCCAACATATCTCGTTTCCTGTTAAAGATATAAAAAGCAGTCAACTGGTAAATTGCTTGTCATATATCACAAACATTTTATTAGTTGACAGACTTTTTATATCTTGCACAGGAGAAAATAAAAATCAGCTCAAACCTGACAGTTTAAGGTCCCTTCTATTATAGTCTTTACGGCACTTAACAGGTGTTTATACAAAACTTTGTTCAATTGCAAAAATCAGGTGTTATTTTCATCGAGAAAATTCGAGAGTAATCAAACCATTAATTTAACTTTTTTGAGACACCAATCTGCTTTATTTTACTGACAAGATAATGTTCCATATCTTTTTGAATGTGATATTTTTTTATTGGAGCCCAGAAAAAATTACCTCAAACTTGAAAGTATGGGGCCCTTCTAATACAGGTTTTATGGCACTTAGCTTTATAAAAAAAATTACAATCACCCACCAATTTACCAGCATCATTAGTCAATGCCTCACAAATACAAGCGACCTGTTCTTCAGAGTATCTCGTTGTATCACAACTGAAAAAAAAACGTCTCAAATGTTTTTCGACAAAAGAAAGAAACTTAAGAAACTCATGGGATGAAATTCCAGCAGATTCCCTTGTTGAAATCTGATAAAATTTCGTGTCGATATCACATTAAAACATACGTAAAGTGATGAGGATGAAACGACGAGGAGCTTGGCTGCATATTGCTTTTCGAAAATACTGCGGTGACACAAAATTTGAAAACTGATAGTGTGAAAATGAGGAGTTTGTGAAAACGACAAAGAAAACCTCAAACAGATTTTCATGACAGAGCAGCTGTTTCTGTCCGTTGTTTTCTTGCCAAACTACAGTATCTAGTAGTAAAACAAAACACATTTTTTTGGGAACAAGCTTTATTTACAAAAAAGTAGGATCTGCGATAATAAATAAAAGAATACGTAGGGGGATAAAACTGATAAAGAAAACTGAATCAAGGGAAGCAAATAAGGCACAAATGTCATATATTTTTTTAAAGGAAGAATCACAGATTTTATTTATTCGAGGACTTGGGAAGTGGACATTGACACCACTTTGGCTTTCACCAAATTGATCACATTCTGGTTACTGTCTTCTTTCAATTCTTCTGATGGTTTTGGACTCTCTTCTTTTGTTTCCTCGTTCTTCTCAATTTCGGCAGAAGCTTCTGGAGTTTCAGACTTGGCCTCCTCTTCTTTCTTATTTTCTGGAGCTGTCTCAGAATCTTTTTGCGTCTCGGATACTTGATCAGATGGCTGATCATTCTCTTCTGGAGCATCAACCTAAAATCATAAAGTTGTAAATCGATGTTTTAATTTTCCAGATGTACCTCATCTTCACTTTTCGGTTCCTCTTCTAACTCCTCCTGCTCGCCGAGCAACTCATTTTTTGCCTTTCTCTTCTCAACTCTCTCCATCCAGCAAACCTTGTCGACCATCCGGTGAACCACTTTTCGAACTGCATAGTTGTCACTCTCACGGCGAGATCGAGGATTTTTGCTTTTTTTCTGAAACGTTATAAGTTTAGAGATAAGTCAAGCAGCTCTCCTAGCCCTTACCTTCTCCTCAACACTCTTATCCCCAGCCGGTTGCACTTTTCCTTTTCCATCTTTTTCTTTTTTCTGAATGTTCTTATTCTCTTTCTGTTCTTTCTGCTGCTGCTCTTTTTGGTCCTTCTGACTTCCACGTCTTCTCTGACCTCTGTTAACCTCTCCTCCATCGGCACCGATCTACAAAACAAAACAATAAAAAGGAGGTGTCGGTGTAAATGAAACTTGAGAAAGCGTCAGCAGCTGGGAAGAAAGAAGCGGTGGCGGAACAGGCGGAGCAGGCGGCTCGTCGGGCGGTACGGTCAAAGTAATGAGTAGCGAGCAGGTGTGAACGGGAATATACAAACGATAGGGGAGACTGATTTATGGACTAGATGAATGAGGGAAGGATGACGTAATTGTTTTGTAAGGGGCCATAACTATTTAGATGACATAATAGTCTTAACTTTTGAAAATTACAGTACCGGTCATATACAAAAACGTGTTTTTCCGTTGATTTTTATCATTTTCAGGTGTCTGGAGCACGGCTGTCAAGTTTCCGATCTTTTAAAAAATTTTATAGGGTGTAACAGACCTAGATTGAAAACTTTGCATTCACAGAATTTATTGAAATTAGTTTTCAGCTATTTGCCGATTTCTGGAACACACAAACGGGCTAAAAAGGGGTGCATTTTGAGGTAGACTACAAATAGCTGAAAAACTATGAATTTTCAAATAATCCTGTGAAGGAAACATTTCAATTTAGGTCTGTTTTACACCTTCCAAAACTTTCAAAAAAGGTCGGACACTTGACAGCCGAGCTCTGGACTCCTGAAAATGGTCAAAACCAACTGAAAAACAAGTTTTTCATATACTTATGGCTGGCACTGTTGGTTATGTGTAAAACTTGCCAAGTTCCAACAAAAAAATAATTATAGAATTTTTCAGCTGACCATTGCCCCTAGGAATATTCTCAAGTCTCTAATACTTAAACTTACCGAAATTTTCTTCTCTTGATGTCCTCCATCTTTCTGATTTCCAGACTTTCCATGGTTTCCACCCCTTCCTTGATTTCCATGACCCCCCTTCTTTCCATTTCCATTTCCATTTCCACTCCCTTCTTTCTCGTCCTTAAATGGGAATGTGATTCTTCCCTCCAATCTCGATGGAATCTTAACACCATCCTTCTGATGCTTCTGTGCTCCTCCATTTTGGTTTCCGTTTTTGTTGCCACCTTTTCGGTTTCCACCTGATCCACCTCCGGCGTTATTCGTGTGGTTACCGTTATTATCCTTATTATTATTAGTGTTAGCGCCATTTTGACCCGCCAATCGACCCTTCAAATCCATCGAAGGCACATTCTCCCGCCAAGTTTCGGCACTGAATATTGAATTTGGTTTCAAAATTTTTGAATGAGATTTGCTTACGGTGTCTTTCCTTTGTCCCACTCACGACTCCACTGTCCATTACCGTTACGGTCCGGAGTTGTCGCTTTGGGAGAAGGCGTTTGAGACGATGACTGAAAATAATAAATCAAAATCTGAAATTTTCTGAACTTTATTTTTTTTGTTTTTTAGATTCACGTCATCTCTACTTTCAGAACAAATCAACTACCAAAAACACTCTAGTAGAAGGTCACTCGATCCTTTCACTTCTAGCTCATACATATATCTCATTTCCTGTGCGAGATATCAAAAATCTGTCAACTGATAAAATGTTAGTAATTTTATGATAAACACATGCTGATATTATGATAGATAATTTATCAGCTGAAGATTTTTCGAAATCTTTTGAGGGAACCGAGACAAATTGCCTCAAAGTTAAAAGTTAGGGTCTCTTCTATTACAGTTGTTAAGTATGTTTCTATTATACTCCGGTTACACCTTTTCGTTTCTTTTTCTTTTCCGCAATACTGTTTTGTACGAATTCCTCGAATTTGATTACTAATTGTCTCTCGCGCGTTCAATATGTATGTTATCATCCTTCCACATCTATCTTCCCGTTTTTCCTTTCTTTTTTCTTTTTCTTTACTCCTTGCCACATAAATAGCATCTTCGTCAAAAACTGTACAATTTGGAAATGAGTTTTCAAAACTGGTTTCCTTTTCAACAAAAAAAAACCAATGGCATGATTGATTGGGCATGGCATACCTTTGGAGATTTCGCTGTCGAATCCTCATTGCGTGCACGATCCTCTTCGATCTCCTACAAAAATTCAGAATTTCAAAGAGAAAATTCAGGGAAGCTCAAACCTTAGTACGCTGCTCAATTTGCTGGTTCTTTTCCCGAATGAGGGCGATTCTGCGATCGAGTTCCGCCTCATGCTCCTCGCTGCGTCGCTTCTCACGATCCATATCGAGCCCTGTATTTCAGAATATTCCAGAATTTTGAAAGTTGACGATACGAGCACGTTGGTATGTGGACAAGAGGAAGGGAAAATGAAATGGCGGTAGCGAAATGAGAATAACAACATGCTGTGTATTTACCAGCCACCTCCATCACAATGTTTATGCAAATAACTGTATGTTAAAACACAGTTAAAACAGTGAAGAATATACAAGGGAAATGAGAGAAAGGAAAGAGAGAAAAATGTGATGTAGAGGATTATCAGTAACTTTGAAAGTTTTTCTGTGGAATCAGAAAGGAAGAGGTCAGCAAGGGAGCGTTTTGGAAGACTGAAAGTGTTATCAGTTGTCATAAAATGACCAGTCATTGAAATTGTTAGAGGAAAAGTTTCAAGAGCATGCCAATCTGCCAAAAATGACAATGATCGAGAGTACTGTATTTGTAAAAGTTTCTGAAGAGATTCTCGAAAGAAAAAAGATCAAATAGTCACCAAGATACCGCGAACGTTATAATGGAAAACCGCCAAGCCATCAACTTTAAGCCCATATATCTCGGTTTCTGTGAAAGATATCAAAAAGTAATAAACTGATGGAATGTTTATCATTATGTCAAAAATATTTCGTCAGTTGATCAATTCTTGATATCTTCTATAGAAAGCGAGATATATGGGCTCAAAGCGGACGGTTTGGATGACCCTTTATTAGAGTGTTTACGGTAGTTCCACGGATAGCACTCAATTCACTGGAAAATCACAGTTTAGTGGAACATTCCGGAATAAGAAAATTGCGAAATTTTTGGTTAAAAATATTGGAAGAAAATGATTCAACTCTCTCTATGTCGGTTCTCTCTCAAGAGTCTTGCATCTTCTCTCTATCAATCGAAGAAAATCGGGACAGAGATTTAGAGAATGAGGGAAAAAAGAGCGGGGCGTTTTGCAGTCGGCGTCTGTATGTGTGTGCGTGTCGTGTCTATGTAATATCTGTACAAGAAGAGAAAGGGGAGCAGCCGACGATCGGACTGGGGTACGGGATGGACACAGGAAACGGGAGAGAGAGAAAACGAACTGGTCGGCATGAAGAAGAGAAAAATGGGAGAAGGAGAAAAGTGTTTGGATGGGATGGAGAGAGGATTGAAAATCAAGACAAATGTGTTGATGGACAACATTTTGAGATGAAAAGTCATAACAAAAATGAAAGCAAAAAGCATAGGTTCCACCGAGATTTGAACTCGGGTCGCAGGATTCAAAGTCCTGAGTGCTAACCGCTACACCATGGAACCACATTTCGAAGACACTCCTAGCGCGAATATTACGGAGCGGAATCGGAGGAAATGTGGGAGACGCAACGGGTTGATAGACGCAAAAATAATATATGGAGAAGGAAAGGTGGAGATGGGAAAAACAAATAGAACAGGTCGTAAGCTGCTTTTTAGGCAATCGGAAAAAAATCGTGAATGGGTCGGTCGATTAGTGTGTGTAACGGGGTGAAAACTGAACAAAAACAAAAGGAACTGTACTGCAAAGGTGTGAAATTGTTTGATTCCTCCGAAGAGAAAACTGTCGATTGCAAATTGCAACTTGCAAAGAAAAAAAATTAAAATCCTTCACACAAAATTGTAAAATGGCATTTGAAGGAAAACATATACCGTAGAACCTGTAATAGAAGAACTTCCTCTGACAAGTTTGAGATAGTTTATCTCGGTTCCTGTGACAGATATCAGAAATGTGTCAAGTAAGAAAATATTCTTGACTTTATAATGACCATTTTATCAGTTGATCACTTTCTGATATCTTTCACAGGAAATGAGATATATGGACTTAAAGTAAACGATTTGGATGACACTCTACATATTAGAATGTTTACGGTATTTGTTTAAAAAGTAAAGCAACGGGCCTTATAAGTGGTCCAATAACTCTTGTAAAATCTTATGGAAAAAGTAGTAGCATATCCATGAAAATCTTTAAGTCTTCTAGAACATTTTTATCAATAAAATGTTTTACAAAACATTCCGAAAACTCTTGAAAATGCCAGTCTCGGTAGAAATCTATTTTTCAAGTTTATGATTCAATTTATTTTTCCTGAAGCTCCATACACCTGATCTGTTAGTTGAATCAAAAAACACTGGGGCTCCGCCCATTTTTTTCCAGGCAAGTCTTTGAAAGCTCAAGACATGGCCATGTACATGGCACTTCACTTATCCATGCTGCATACTCGGAATTAACCGAATTAACTCGTTTCTTTCCTGAAATCCAAAACTTCAGAATAATAGCAAATTATTTCCTTGGAACACGTGATTTGAGTTATGTACTAACTTCTGCTTCCGGCTTTCTGACCGATAACAAAAACCTCCATTTATCTTATTCCGGCACTCGGGCTCTTGACTAGGTTATTTTTTCGGTCATAATTTCTTGGCAATTGAACAGCTCATAAATTTCACAAAATCTGAATTTTCCTGATATCAGATTTTTTCTATCTATCCCTCTACAAGAATTAGTTCACTCTTCATTCAGTTTGTATTTTAGTTAGCAAATAATGGGCGATCCACAAGCTATCATTGAATTGCTTCGCGAAAATGTTAGCTGTAATTCTGGAGAATCAAATCAAATCCAATATTTCAAATATGGCATTCAATTGATATATGTGTTACCGTTAGGATTACTGTATTTATCGTTCATGATTACAATTATGAAACGGAAAAAGGATCGCGAGTTGTTCGATGATTCTTTTTTTACGTTGCTCTTGGCTGATGGAACTATAGTAAGTTTATTTAGACTTGAAACCAAAACAGGTGTCTGATTCGATTTAGTTTTCTTTTTTTTTATTTTTGGAAAAAAAATTGCAGTGTGAAAGTCAAACTTCTGGTTCTAATGAACTGATTTAATATACGACGGCGTCATTTGAAAAACAGATTTTTGTTGCTAGTTTTCTGGTTTATTGTATTGAGCAAAGTCTCAAAAAAGCAATTGTAACTTCTATATCAAGAATACCGTAAAAACTCTGATAGAAGAGTACCGTACATTCGCCCTTTGAGCTCAATTATCTCGAATTCTTAAAGAGATATCCGGAATGTGTTAACTGATAAAATGTTGGTGATATTATGACAAACATTTTATCAGTTGACAAACATTTGATTTTTTCACCAGAGTCAAGATAATTGAGATCAAATTTGACGGTTCAGCTTCTATTAGAGGAAAAACGGTAATTTCAATTTTTTACTCGTGTTTGATTTTCTCTTAAAACTGAGAGACACAAATTTTCTTAGCAATGCATACAAAAAATGTACTCCTTCTCAACCCTGACATCTTTATGCTCCGATTTTCAGACCTTATACTTTCTAGTTTCGGATATAGGATTCTTCCGTTTGACCTCTTACGTTCGCCCGGTTTGTGAATATCTTCTACCTTCACTCAAAGATCCTGCATATATTTTAACCCCGTTTTATACTTCATATCTCTATTCTCAACTTGCAAAAATGTTGTCTACGTTAGCAATGAGTGTGAATAGATACACTTCGGTCATTCATCCGGTTCGTCATAAAGTGGTGAGATTCTTCCGAACCAAAAAACTGAAGCTATCTCATATGTTTTTAGTTTTGGCTCCGACACTGCTACAAAATTATAATTGCAATACTTATCATTCCAATGTGTTTCGTGTGGCCAGTTATAATTGGAACCACCAGTTTTCTTCCGATTGATGGAAATAGTGTAATCTATTATGAGCATAAACTTCCATGGGCTCGAACAACATACGGTAGAATATTGATTGCAATTCCAACTCTATTGTTCACAGTTTACTCAAGTTTTGTCACTTCGTCGAAACTTGGGAAACTTGGAGGGCGTATGAAAAAAGTGGAACACTCTATGAATGTTGCAACTGTGTTCACTGCCGCTGGATTCGTTTTGGTATTAATTTTGCAGATTGTATATCTTGTGGTAACGACTCAGAATATTACAAGTGAAGAAAAAAGTGTGGTGGGTCTGAAAATTATCATGGCTGGCACACAAATTAGTAACGATTTCTACATGTTGAGGTTTGTTGAATATCATGTACCATCAAACTTTGAGCCAATTTTTCTCGGTTCCTGTTGAAGATATAAAAAAGTTGGCAACTGATAAATTGTTTATCATGATATCAGAAGTATTTTATCAGTTGACTTATTTTTGATATCATGCCCAGGAGCCAGTGTGGGGACCCTTTTATTAAAGATTATACAGTATAAATGTTTTAGCGATATTTTTTCAGTGGTCCTGTTATACTTTTGATTCTTGACAAACGAATGAGATCTTCCATTTTTTGTCATACGAAGAAAAGGAAAGATTCGAGAAGAACAACGACAAAGTTGTCCATTCAACATCCTTCGCCACATGTTCAACCAATTTGAAGTTTCTATAAATACCAGCAAGCTGGTGCGCCTTCGGCGCAATTCAATCTATTTTTTCAAATGTTCGTCGCTTTGTTTCTCACCTTTTCTAAATAAAAGGGTCACGTAAATATATATGTTTTTTTCAATTTCTTCAAAAGTCCACAGACGGACACGAGGACGGACAGACGCCTCTAGCGTTTTATTAATAAGGAAGATTGTGTTTTAAAAAAAAAATGTTTGAAGCTTGTTTTCGATTTCTATTTGTTGTTGAATACGAGCATTTGTGATACAGATCTTGCAAAAAGAATCTCACCAGTCTTACCCAACCTTTCTGAAATTACTCACGAGCTCAATTATGAGTGAAGCGTGCGAATTTCGCTGACTGAAACACCCACTCAGTTCTAGTTTTGTTTCTTGGAACGTGCCTACTTTCCATACACAACCACACACGGTTCACCGATTCCAGCCGACAAACTTCCGCATTTTTTCACTACTAATTCAAATTATCAAAAAAAATTGAACACTTCCATGTCTGACCCAAAAGCTGTCAGTGAAGTTTTACGCCAGAATATTCAATGTTATTCTGGAGAACCAGATGAGATTCAGTACGTTAAATTCGCGATTCAATTGTCTTATTTGCTACCGTTTGGATTACTGTACATATCTTTTTTAATCAAGATCGCAAGAAAGAAGAAGGCTCGGGATCTTTTTGAAGATTCATTTTTCACATTGCAATTCGCAGATGGAATTATTGTGAGTTGAAACTTATCAACTTTTGCAAAGAACTATGAAACTTTAGAACATTTCGATTTTTGCTTATAGTTATGCAGTTTTTAGTCACACCACATTACTCTAGCGATTAGGTGCAAAAAAAGGAGACGCAAAGTTTTAGAAAGAGTATTTAATTTCAGTTCTGGATACAATACTGCACGAAAATATTGATTGCTGTTGTCACCATTCCTTTGCTTTTTGTATGGCCTGTTGCAATCGGAACCACAAGTTTTACTCCATTCGGAGGGACTGCTATCATAAACTACGAACGAGTTGTACCCTGGGCTCGAACATCGTACGTTAGACTTATAGTAGCAGTTCCTTCGTTTTGCTTTACCTTATACTCGACTATCGTTACGTCTTCCAAACTCAGAAAGCTAGGAGGGCATATGAAGAAAGTTGAATTTTCAATGAACATGGCCACCTTGTTCACAGCATGCGGATTCATATTAGTGGTGGCGGTACAAATCGCTTATCTTGCGGATAGTGCTTCAAGTATGATAGAAAATATGTGGCTCACAAAAATTATTTTGGGAGCTACTCAAGTCAGTTATGATTTTTATATGTTGAGGTATGAATGTTTTAAAAATTGGTTGATAACATGGAATCTGAATTACAGTGGACCAGTTGTTTTACTGATCCTGGACAAGCGGATGAGATATTTAATTGTTTGTTGTCGAAGCTCAAGAAAATCCGGATCTCGGAACACCACCACAGTAGTGGCTGTGCAGCCCTTACCAACAATAACGAATCATTCTGGTCATTCTTCTTAAACTTGAACTGATTTTTTGCCTATAATCTGAACTATTATAAAAGCTTTCTGACCCTAACAAACAAGCCTAGTAATGCAATTCCACGAAAAAAACTCAAAGCACATGTCGAGCTATAAGAAATATCATGGTCTGATCTCTTCAGATTCTAACGAGCGTATATGACAGCTTCATTATGTATCCATAACTTCAAAACAATTAGCAATCCTCTTGGAGACTTCACAAAATTCACGCGCTCTTCACAAATTGAGTGTGAGAGTAGTGATATCAAGTCTTCAGTCGTTTTGGTTCTCTGAATTCACGTATTTTTCCAGTTCTTTTCTTTCGAGCTGAAAACGGATAAGCAGTATATAATTTTGAGGCTAGACACGGTTCGCCGATTACGCCCCAAATATTCTCTGTTCACTTCCAAAATTTTGTGTTTTCAATGTCGAATCCGCAAGTTGTAGGGGATTTGTTACGTCAGATGATCGGATGTGATTCTGGAGAATCAAATATTCTTCAGTATACAAAATTTGCATTACAGTTGGCTTATGTTTTACCCTTTGGTTTTTTGTACCTTTCATTCATGATTACAATTATAAAAAGAAAGAAGGATCGTGATTTATTTGAAGACTCATTCTTCACTTTGCATCTGGCCGATGGAGTTGTTGTAAGTAACCTCTAAATGTTAGAATAATTATAAAATTTATTCCAGACTCTATACTTTCTCATGGTGGACACCAGTTTCTTCAGACTAACCTCATATGTTCGCCCAGTGTGTGAATTCCTTATCCCATATCTCAAAGACCCATCGTACATTTTGACCCCATTTTATACGTCCTATATGTATGCACAATTGGCTAAAATGCTGTCAACATTGGCAATGAGTGTGAACCGATACACTTCTGTGAATCACCCAGTACATCATAAAGTGGTGAGACTTTCTATGAAATTCTGATGTCTGAGCTCTTTTTGTTCTAGTTCTGGATGCAATATTGCTCTAAAGTCATTGTTGCAATATTTGTAATCCCATGTTTCTGCGTATGGCCGGTCGCTATTGGAACCACAAGTTTCCTCCCATTCAACGGTAACGGTGTCATAAACTATGAGCACGTCATACCTTGGGCTCGAACCACATACGGAAGACTTTTGATCTCAATTCCAACTCTCTTTTTCACAATCTATTCCAGTATTGTGACGTCTGCAAAACTCAAAAAACTGGGAGGACACATGAAACAAGTTGAGTTCTCTATGAATGTTGCGACAGTTTTCACAGCGTGTGGATTCGTGTTGGTAGTGGCTTTGCAAGTCAGCTATTTGCTTCTAGATGCTGAAACATTGTTGGACAAAATGTGGCTGACTAAGGTTATTTTAGCAGCGACACAGATTAGTAACGATTTTTATATGCTGAGGTGCGTATGTACTTTTGAATTGTATTGTGATTTCTATATTTTTAGTGGTCCCGTGGTTCTATTGATACTGGACAAACGAATGCGATTTTCCATTTGCTGTAGTAATCGGAAGAAAGGATCTAGAAGGGCAACTAAAGTTTCTGTGCAGCCGCTGACACTTGTGCAACATACTCTTTGACACTGAAAATTTGGTTCAAAAATTGTTTTCTCACTTTTTCAGAATTAAATGTTTGACTTAATAAAGAAGATTGCATTAAAACTGAGAGAAGTCTAATGAATCAAAACTTATTTTCTAAAGATTACTGTCTTCTTAGAAATTCAAAGATTAATTACGAAAAAAAAAAATTTTGTTTTGACAACATCCCTTTTTCTAGATAAAAATTGATTTTCTTCCCCCGAATACGTGCCAAATGTGACTGAATTACGGATCACCGAGCACATCATGGTAGCACACCCACTCGAAATTCTGATATTAATGTTCACTAGCTGATCTCCTTTCATTCCTCACTTTATCACCTTGATGATGGTTGAAATCGACGCTGCTGTTGAATATCTCCGTGCTAGAATTAGTTGCGATTCTGGAGACACGGATGTATCACAGTACACCAAATTCGGTATTCAATTGGTTTACGTTTTACCTTTTGCTTTTTTGTACTTCTCGTTTTTGATGGCAATTGTGAGAAGGAGAAATCATTGTGAAATTTTTGAAGACTCATTTTTCGCACTGCATCTAGTGGATGGGATTGTGGTGAACTTGAAAATCAATGGAATACAATTTCACTAATAAGTTTTCCAGACTATTCTCTTTCTTGTACTTGATATAAGTTTCACAAGAATCACTACCTACATTCGTCCAGTATGTGAATACTTTGTACCCCTTCTGAAAGATGATGCCTATTACTTGACACCATATTTCACTCTTTACCTGTATGCTCAATTCGCAAAAATGTTATCCACTCTGACGATGAGCATCAACAGGTACACTTCTGTTAACTACCCATTACTTCATAAATCTGTAAGTTTTCTATTGCTCGGTACCTGAAAAATGGACTACGTTTTCAGTTGTGGTTGCAACACTGCTCCAAAGCTATCTTTGCTATTTTACTGATCCCTATATTGTTTGTTTGGCCAGTTGCAATCGCAAAAACTTCTTTTCTTCCAAACAAAGGCCAGACAATAATTATGTATGAACATCATTTTGCGTGGGCAAGAACATCGTTCGGAAGGATTTTGATTGGAGGATCTACACTCATCTTCACAGTGTTCTCCAGTGTTGTCACCACCTACAAGCTATCGAAATTGGGAAAACACATGAGAAAAGTGGAGATTTCGTTAACGGTTGCAACAGTTTTCACCTCGTTCGGATTCGCATTAATGCTGGTCGTCCAGATTTTCCAGTTGGTTGTGCCTCTGGATTCGTTTGTAGAAGACCCATGGATGGCCACCTTTTTGTTGGGAGCTACGCAGTTTGTGAACGATTTTTATATGTTGAGGTGAACGATGTTTTTGAAATGACCTGTTTTATTTTGTTCCATTTCAGTGGCCCGATTGTCCTAATCATTCTCGATAAAAAAATTCGAAGATCAATTCTTTATTGCTCACTCCGCCGTACAAATTCCGACAAGCGAATCATTGAAGTATCCGCACGAGCAGTCACCATAACCGAAACTCATATGTTTTAATGTTTAGTCTCATTATTTTTTCTCTTGCTGATCAAACCATGAAATATTTTTGACTTTCTATTTTCAGCTCTTGAGCCATTCGGTTGGTTGCGCATTTAAGAAGAATAAATATTTATAAAATTAGGAATGAAACTACAAACACTAACAAATTATATGGGTACATAGATCACCACATCGTTAAAGTTTTGGCTGATGGAGATTTGACAACGATTTTTACAGTGTCTCCAACTCTTGACGATACCCGAGTGTTTTCGGAATTCTGAGGAGCTTCTGGAGATACACGGAATACTGAAGAACGGAGCCGTTTGTTCATGATGAGCAGGACAATTGGCGAGCTACAAATCACACATGATCTCATTAATAATCTGCACTAATAGTAAGCATAGACGTCAAGCATCATAAGGTTTTTCAGCGAAACCTGTAGTAGTTGCTCACCTCATTAGATAAAAATCATTACAACAAAATTCAATTTTCTTCAGTGTACTGCCAAACGCAAGATTTTCAATTAAAAACGAGGTAGAGAAGATGAGGAGAATCGCCTGAAATCTGGGAACTAAGAAAACAAAGAGTACATCAAAAATGCTAACCTGAATAATGATGTAAACAACGAAAACTGCACTGATGACTACGGTAGATAGGGTTAAGGACCTTTCCAAGGTTCTCAGTTTATTCTTGAACTTCTTAGTGAGACGATAGGTTTTGATATTAGTGAGCAATATAAACAGAAAGGCAGTCAAACTGACAATAAGCTTGAAGAATGTGGTCCGGACCTGGAAGATTATTAATCGGTTTCAAATCCCTTAATTTAAAACAAAACTTACAAATGGTACAACTTTTACATATCCCAAGATTCCTTCTCCAACATACGGATCGAATCTAGTTGGTGAGATGGCGAGGTGCCACGTGAAGAAGACTGGACAAATCATGGAAACAATGATGACGTGATTGGTGTGCTTCTTCCAGAACTGGAATGATCTCATTAAAAAGAGAAACTTCTTGGTAAATCGTGCAAATTTTAGAAGAATTCAAAATTCACCTGTATGGAATCATCAAACTAAATATGTATTACAAAACTCACAATCTTGTGCCAAATTGGATAAGCAACACAAGTGAATCGGTTTGCAGACAGCAATGAAATCGAGAAAATCTTTGCGAACTGGAAGTAGTTGAATGAAGCGAGGTAGGGTGTTAGGATGTATGTCGGTTGCGGGAACCACGTCCAGAAAACGCGGCATAAAGGATTGACATAGATTAGGGGACGAGTCAGACCGTAATCCAATACAACCACTATTAGGCTCTGAAGGCAGTCGTGAATTAAACCAATACATCCTTCTTACCACAACTCCATCGAGTACGTAGATCTTAAAGAAAGCATCTGAGAACATGTGTTCAGTTTTGTGAGCTTTCAGGATTTTCAGAATCACAAAGAGGTAGAGAATAGAAATCGGAAGTGCGTATCCCAATTGTAAAATGTACATTATGATTTGAGTGGATACGGTATGGAATTGATAGGTGCATGTTCGGATTGAAGGGTCGATTTCTTCCTCCATCTGAAAAATGTCAAAACTTCAAGAACAATATGACTGTTGTTATTGTTTTTGGCTTTTTAGCAGAATTCAAGAAAAAAATCTGATCAGAAAAACGATGTATGACACAAGGACAATGCAAGCGTAGCGATGTGAAAAAATTGGACAAAAGTCATAAGAAATACTCTCTCGTTTCTCCACTTTTTTTCTCATCAGATCAAAATTGGATGCTGAGAGGGTTGGTCATGGCAGTGGTTTATGTTCCCACACCCCAAAATGTTCTACATCTTTTTTCTGCTCTTTTAGGCTCTGCAGAAACGGAAATTGATGGGAAACCCAAAAAATTAATTGAGAATGGGAATGATCGGATATTGGAAAATTGGGTTACCTCCTCGAGATTATCCGGTGGATAGTAATGGCCCATCACGAAGTAGTAGATTATGAAAAGTAACATTGAAGAGTAGTAGAAGAATCTGTTGAATAGTTTGAAGTGAGAATGTTCCGATCTGAAATTTTCAGTTCGAAAAAGTTAGTGTATACATGTAATTTATTGCTTTTTTAGTCTCAATGATAGGTTGCCTTTCTACATAAATTAGGTGTTCAAATCGCACGATTGTCGTTCGAACTTCTAAACATTGACCATTCTAGAAACTTTGAATTTCTTACAAGGGAACCATGTTTAGACGTCATCTCAGAATTTTTTCTAAATTTGCTCATTTATAGTTACGAATACGGGCTTTCTTGTGGTGTATTTGGTTTTCTACGCAAATTTCTAGAAGTCGAGTTGTGGGCGGTTTAAGTTATTTCAGTGCTAATTTCTCACTTTTCGAGTGAGTTTTTGAAAGGGTTAATAAGAGTTTTTCGGCAAATTTTATAATTTTTCGAATATTTTTTTAATGTACTAAAATGAACTCTAAATGCATAGAAATGATAAAATGAATCTTTTCACAAAATTCTGTAGCCTATATCCATTATGAAATCCCAAATAACTGGGTGAAACTTCAATGAATCGTAGTCCTTCGAAAATCACCCAGTAGCACTCAAATCTTGTGAAAACATAGATTTACATACTTCTTGCAATATTTATCACTGTTACGCGACCAATATGGTCATATCGAGGGATTTCGACTGACATTTTGACTATTTATAGTATACTTTTCGAAACAAGTCCAAAATGAATTTTTCAATAAATCGTTTTTTCAAGCTTTTATCCTACTCAAATAATAGAGTAAACATAATTTTGATTTTCGAAAAATGCAAAGCATTCCTCCAACATCAAAGAGAAAAAAGAAAAAATAAAATGGACAATGACGGACTCGAACCTCAAACTTGTGATTATTCTTAAGATCCCCACTATCCACTCGGCCACTTTTGCTCGCCTTTTCTCCAGTGGAGAATGTATAGAGGAAAGGGGTCAAAGTGGAAGGGAAGGAGGAGAGAGCATATTTTCAGATGGAATTTTCTCGACTTCTAGAAATTTGCGCAGAAAACCAAATATACCACGAGAAAGCCCGTATTCGAAACTATTATCCTTGTTTGAGAAAAAAAAAGGTTGAGACGCAGAGAAAAAGTGTCTGTGTCTCCACCTTATGTGTGCTATTTAGGCTCTCCGCTTCGATATCGCTACCGTATTCAGACTGCAAAAATACTCTCTAACCTTTTTTTCTCAGACAAGCATAATATAAATGAGCAAATTTAGAAAAAAATCTGAGATGACGGCTAAACATGGTTCTCTTGTTTGAAACAAGCTCGTAACGTTTTTTAACTTCATTGTACTTTTGTTTACAGTTTTGTGGGGTAAAAGGTTGAGAAACAGGTCACAATAAAGAATAGTCCAAAAATAGGGTTTCATATGTTCAGAGTCATCGACCTTTTCCAAGACTTTGATTTTAGGTATGAATACAGTACTGAATCACCCTGACTCATATGAGACGGAAACCAATCATGATTGGGTATTTCGATGTGATCTATTATTCTGGATCAAAAAATTTAGAGATGTGGAAGAGAAACGCTGGTGGTGACCGTGGCCGAAGCTCCCACGACGGTAATTACCGTAACCTAAATTATTTTAATTTTCGAAAACTGTTTCTCGTTTTTTACTGCTTTGCGTAGAGTTTTTTGTTATTGTCGATTCAAAAATATCGCACATTTGAACACGCAAAAAAAAAAACAAAAAACAAGGGGCGGAGACAATCCGCCCTTTTTTGCAAAACCCACGCACAGTAGAAAATGGACGAGTTTCCTTCAATTCGGCAGAAATTGGGTGAAAAAATATCAAAAAACCGTGTCAATAAAATTAGCGGAAAACTGCATGTGCGATCTTTTTGAATCGACAATATCAATAAAAAACTTTTGATTATGAAAAACTTGATTATGACAAAAAACGAGCTGATAAATCCGGAAAACAATTTTTACTACGGTACTTGTCGATTTGGTCACCGGCGTTTCTCTTCCACATCTCCGATTTTTTGTACCAGAATAATACTACAATGACAAATCATCTTTGGATATTTCGATGTCATCTGATGGGAACTGTTCGTTCAGAGAACAGATTTTAAATAGTTTTCTCTGTTTTGTTGGAAAATTCATTTCTCAGGATTCAAACTAACACACAGGTATTCACTTCGTTCATGCTGACTACGAGTCCATTTGGATCAAATCTATTAATTATTTCTAATGAACGATTTTTTGACACATGATCCAACTTTGCTTCCTACTATCTCATCAAAATTTGTATCATGACTAATGAGTTTTTTTGTGATCTTACTCGATCTTCTCTGTTTTGGTCTGCTTCCCACTGCAAACAATAACTCACCACTTCATTCTTTCAATTAATAGTTCCTTGTCAATCAGCCCAACTTTCCCAGATTGAAACATCATCGGATTTCCCACGATAGGAAGTACTACATTTGTATTACATGCCAAAGATAAAGAAAAACAAGATGTTGGTTTTTTGAACTTGAAAATATGAGTGAAAATCGAAAGATCAACAACGGGATAAAAAAGTTTCGGAACGGAGAAAAAAGTAAATCGAGTTCCTCGGAATGTACTAGACGTAGTTAGGCACCAGGTGTTTTCATGTATCGGAAGCCTGATTACGTGATAAAATGGCTTGAAGGGGTGTCCTGAAAATGAGATGTGGCGTGTATGAAATTGCAGTCATGAATGAATCTGAAAATGATTGATTGATAGGAAAGAGATTGGTTAAGGGGTCATTGAGCTCATACAATCGAGTTTTAGTCCATGAATGCGGAAATGCAGGTTCTTTTGATTCCAGGGATCACATGATCATTTGAAAATCGGGACCTCTGTAGGAACAATTGATTGGAATACAACTGATTAAAAAAAATCGAAGATCAGTTTTATTTTCACAATATCAACGTACCGTAAAACATGTATGAGAAAGGGCGATTCTTCTATTGTTCCATGTTACCAACCGAGAACGCTTCTGCTACTGATGATCTTCAATTACAGAACCTTATATTTTTCCTGCCATTTTTTCAGAACGACTTCAAAACAACAGAAACATTTTAATTTCAAACAACACATTTTGAAGGGGCGCCTCTATTTTTCCGGAGCCCTTTCGGAGAGCTATTTTTTTAGAGGGGCCCATCTAATAGAATAGAAGTTTCACGGTAAATACGACAATGAAACAATTGAACAATTTTTTGAGTTCGTCCCCTATTCAAACTACGGCCCATGTGATGCAAAATTCGCCAGGATTTATTGTTATTATAAAAGGTGAGATCAGCAGAAGAGATTTTCGGACACAGTGAGGGCAGTATCCGGAAATGAAAGAAGCAAATATCACCATCCTGCTTGATAATCTTTCATTCGAAACTTTGGGTATTTTAAATCAAATGTCGCTGCTTGAATTTGAGTTCTGTTTTAAATGGAGCTACGATGGAAATGGAACCAGTTAATATCTGTGAGTTCTTCGTCGTCTTAAAATCCATCTATGGAAAAGAAACGCCGCTGGCCGTGGATCCAACAGCGACCACTACAGTAACCCAAAAATGTTTATTCTCAAGATATGTTTCTTCTTTTCTTTTTACTGCTTTTCGTCGAGTTTCTCTGTTATTTCCCATCAATTTTTTTTCGCTATTTTGGAACAGGCGAAAAATAGAAAGGCTGAAAACGCACGGAAATCAGGAAAAAAACTCTGAAGATAAATATATTACTGGCTTACTGTAGTTGTTGTTGAAAGGCCTATTTTTTCCAGAATAATACCGTATTCAGTTGTGTTTACCTACTTCATTCGGGAAAAAAAAACTGTTCCCACATTTAAACCCTAATAAAAGCTCCCAAATGTCACTAAAATTTGCACTTTTATTTCGTTCTGTTTGCTTTTTTCTGCTCAATAAGTCGTCCCACTATCTTTTCTCCTATTCTTTTTCTCCTAGAAACGTTATTGTTTTGACCAGTTCACCATCGACGTGCTTGTTGACTAATCGTTTGAATTCTGCAGAGAATTGGTATCACGATCTTGACGAGACAGTTTTCATCACTTTTTTCACTTTTGTTTCGATTTGTTTTGATGCTCTCCGTTCACTTCATAATGTGACAAAAAAATGTTTTTCCTGATACAAAGACGTATATTATTTGGTTGTATCCCTAACTAGTTACGTAATCATTCTATGACCATTTCAGTTCCAAACAGACCATTCGAATCCAATTCGGACTTCCAAAACTATAATTTGGGCTCCAATGAGAAGTTATAAGCTACAAATTTCAGATTAGAAATCTTATATGGCCAAAAAATCAGAAAACTCAAAATAAACATTGGTTTTTCTGAATTTTTTAAATATTTCAACTTCAGTGATACGAATGATTTTTGAAGATCATTGAACAGGAAGTCATTTTCAGGCACGCTTTACCCAAATAAGACTGAAATTGTACATTCTCCTCGACTTTTCATCAAAATAAAAACAAAAAGGCTTATTTGTCCTTTTTTATAGTCTTTCCGGAAATCAGATGCTCCAAATTTTGTATTCAATTTTTATCTATTTCTTCTAAACTCGAAAATAATTTTCATTTCAATGTTCATTGATTCTGTTTTCGTCACGAGAAGACAAACACCTATTTTGAGGCAAAATTGCTCGTAAACGCTTGATTAGCTGTTTTAGTACGAAATTGATCCGATGAAGTTCATTTGAGTGTGTCGGGAACATCTCCGAACTTGATATGATCAAGATAGTTCAAGATAAAATATTTTCATCAAACGTTTTATCCCAATCTTTGTGAATTCAGATTTAGCTTTGTATTTTCATCGAAACTCCTACGTGCTTGTAATAACCATGTGATAGATTCGATCAAAACAATACAGACATCATCGCCTGATGAATTTGAAACCAGACATCCCATTTCCTCCGTTGGGAAATTAGACCTCTCTTCTCTTTTTTTTGTCTCCTTCTAGAAGTTTATTAAGCAATTCGCCTCTTTCCCCGAATTCACGATCTCTCTAAATAGAAACTGATCATTATTATTCACATTGCTCTCAACATTTAAACAACATTTAGTTATTTCCAATCTCCCCCTCTCTCATTTCCTCTGTTAAACGATTCATGTGAATTAGTTTCTCACCCATGAAAAACGTATCTAATTGAATTGCTATGGGAACCTTGCGTTTTTTTTTTCCGTTTTTGCAACATTTTGCATTCTTTGTGGTTTTTCAAGGTGGTGAATTATTTAAGAAAAAATAGGTTTAAAATGAGCTCATGTTTGAGGGAACATCTGTTCGTCTTCCCTTTTTTTTTGTCCCCACCGTGCCAGGCTCTGCCTGTAAACAATAGGAAAAATAATGAGGGAAATATAGAAACAATATTTTGTAAGCGATGACAAAAAGGAAAAATTCCAGTTTTTTATATTTAAGTAGCATTGATCATGATTCAGATATTTGTATGCTTTTTTCCTTGTCAGAAACAAAGAGGTTTTTTTGTCTATTCCGTGTGATTATTTTTGAAACACATGTCTAGAACATCGTGAATTTGGATTTTCCCCCAAAAATCAAAGAAAAGCATTCAAAATTCAAGACCTCCTAACTTTTCACTTTTCCTAACTTTTCACTCAAAGTGCACTTATAGGGTGGGTTTTTGCTAGAGAAATACTTTATGCCTGACTATTTTGAAACACATGTCTAGAACATCGTTAGTTTAGATATTCAGAGACCCCAAAGTCTAACATTTTTTATCAATTTTTGGAATCAATAAAATCTATCACAATCTGATCAATTCTGGTCGGGCTCTTTCCTGACAAAAAAACACATTGGTTCTAAAAATTACCAAAAGTTCATCTCGATTTAGTTGGTTTACAGAATTGACGAGCTTCCGCAAGGTCTCTCTGAAAATTTTATTCTCGAAGCTTCCGAGTCTATTTCTAGTTTGTATTTGGCTTTTTGAACTTTTGAATACATAATCTTGTGTGCTTTGCTAGCCTGGCGCTTTTAATGAGTGATTGTTTTGGCAAAAACGCCCGGAAGTTTGGAATATGGACTCCAGCTCATTTGCGAAATTTTTTTTCTTTCTTCTAGGAGTTCGATATGTCTATTCCCCCTTCCAGAGGAACACTTTAAGTCTATCCCTCATGACATTGCGCGTAACATTTTCGAAACATATGCGCGATGTTGACAAGAGAAGCGGGACTAAAAATTTTTTTCAAGGACAGAGACTTTCATAACAAACCTAATTAGCGGGGGCCTTTGAGATATTCGGATATGTTTTTTTTTCTTCTATCCGGAAATCAAAATACAAACATAAAGGGTGGCCATAGTCAACTGACTCTTCCATTTCCTATTTGAATATTCTAAAACAACAAGAACAACAAAAACAACACTTTATTTTCATTGTGTGTCAATTGAGATTTGCATCTTCTTCTTCTTGGTCCTCTTCTTTTTGTCACTCATCTGTCCACCTACCACATAGAATTGACTCCTCCTTTTTGCCTTCTTGGCCGTCGTGCCTTCAGAAGGTGCACAGAGAAAGGCAGGCATACACATAGTGTTCCCGTAAGACACATCCATTTCCCCTACTCTAGCTCATTTGTTTATAATCCCCCTGATACTCATACACGGTTACAGCACGTTTTGTCCTTTGGAGTCAACACTTGACATGACTGTTGAAGAGAAGGTACATCCATCTGAGGATTCCGCATGGCCAATCACTATCAATGAGTGAGTTTTACTTCTTCATCTTGGTGTTCTACTAACCAGAATTCTCTTAATTACAGGCATGACTAGATTTTCAAAATAGAGACTCAATAAGCTAGGATGCTTCTAAAATTCTTAATTTCTACTTCTCATCTTTTAGCATCCACATCAAACATTTGTCTAGTGTTGTGGACCAACTTTGTAATGATGCTCTCGATACTCAACTCCCACGCGACATTGAAAGACTGGTAGGATTTTCGCAAAAACTTCCTAAAAACAAACTGCAATTTCAGAAGATCGTACGAGACCAAATTTCCCAAGTCGTCAAAACTGAGTACGTCCAACTCTTTGGAAAGATTCAAGCCGTTCTTTTCTTCATCGACGGAGACGTTCCCTCTTCTGAAACCATCATTATCTATGGGATTTACAACGAGAAGCATCACGAATTTCTGCAAAAACTCTACCGGAAGATTTTGGTCAAGAAAGGTGTAATCCCACATGCCCCACCACATTTAGTCAAGAAGGTAGACTAATTCATTTTTATAATTGATAATTCCAAACAAGCAACACTTTCAGCAAAGACCAGGGGAGGACTTCTGCGCCTTTCCCCGGTCCATCGATCCAATTTTGGAGGATGGCCTCCCGAAGAGCGTGTGTGAGTATTTGGATAAATACCATCTCGCGAAACAAGCCTCCAGGAAAGCTCTCAATGTAAAAGAGCTTTCGATGAAGACCGGACTGTCCGAGGGTATCATCGAGCTTCGTTTCCAAAAGCATCGCGAGCAGAAGTTACAAGCACGAAGACCATTGGTCAAGAAGGAAGAACCAGAAGAGACGGAAGATGACACTGCCCAATATCACCAACAGGCTCACTACTACGAACCCCCACAATACTGGCATGGGAATGTCATGTTTGATTGCTATCCAAGTCCACCAGTCGAAACGTGTCATCGTTTTCCGCTTACCCGTGTTCCACTTGATCAGCCACTCACCATCGAAATTCCACAGGAGTTCCCATGTTACTTTCCAAATTACTAAATTTGATGCTCAAGCTGTTGCCATTATGTTTCGCTGATCTTTTCTTCTTTTTTTAACAAACCACAAAAATTTGTGAATGAATGATTGTATGTATATTGTGATTCTATGAACGTTCTTTTCATATTTTATATTCATTGCGTACTATTTGACATGGTTAACTACCGTAATTGTTATTCTCAATCACTGAAATTTCAGGAAACAAATTATTTGATCTTTCAGAAAGTCATGAGCGAAGCCTTCCGACTGGAAACTGTTTTTACGCGCTTGGTAACTGATCTACTTTTTTCACCCAACAGTTGACGCATTGCAGAAAGAGCTCAATGAACAGATGCCAGATGATGACTCTTTTCAGTGGAATTGCAGAATGGTTCAAGCCGTCAGGGAAAACAAACCATTTCAAGTTCTTCAGTTAGCTGGAAGTCATAACTTCACAAATGAGCTCCAAAAGGATATTGCACTTAGTTTGGTTCAGTATGCTTGCGAGATGATCACGGACGAAACTACAAAGAATGAGGCATCTGAAGTCGAGACAGCGAATTTGACAGTCTCGTCGCCTGAGAGCGGTTCTGAACTGACATCATCACCAGAATCATCAGAAAAAGAAGATGGTCAAGACGAGCCAAAGCCTGTTGGAACTATGCGAAAATTCAACCTGAAGGTGAAATTATTATTTTTTCTTCCTAATTGTAAAGAACCCGTAAAAATTCTAGCACAACGCCCGTCAGCAACTAATCCGCCGCTACAATAAGACCAAAGCAACAGAGATATCCGACGAGACTATCGACGCGTACTCTAAAAGATATTGTGAGCCAGCTGAGGAACTCATCCGATACTACAAAGAGATCCCATACCTTCCACAGTGAGTTTAAGTTCAGAAGATCATAAAAATTCGAAACATTTTCAGCCGCGCTCCAAAGCGTAACCGATGTACTGGAACTAGACGACATACTGAAGATTGATTCGATGTTATTCGTTCTTCTGTTAATTCACTTACTTCAGCGACGTCTCAAGTTCACCCCAAATTCATCAAACTTCAATGCTAGCTCGATTTCCTAAACCCCTCTTTCATCACACTGTCTATCCAATTGGCTAGAACTCGGTAACATATTCAATATCCATTGGAATCTGTATATTCCGATCAATATTTGGTTTTCTGTTTTCCCTATGTCTTGTCCTCATAATTTTTGAAATATCCCAAATAAATTCCTTCACTTGATGTGACCAAATGTAGCTAGTGAGGGAAATCGCACAGTGCCACGTGGGTTCCTTCTGATGCGGCAGTCTTTTGACATTGTGTGCAAACATTGAACACCTTCTGGCATAATCTCCCTACTCGAAAAGGTTATTATAGTGGACGATCGACTTCTAAAGGAACATCGGCAGATGGACATATGGAATGCCACGGCAATATAGTGTCGAATCTGCGGGGGGTAGTGAGGGTGATTAGTGTCGGAAGATTTATTTGTTGTTAGAAGATCGATAGGGGAAATTTAGGTCCAGTCTAGAATTATGTGGTCCGTATGTTGCGCATAGAATGCGATAAACATTTCAGGTGAAATTTCACAACGAACATGAGCAACTAAAAAACTTAAGACAAAGGTGAGGTCAGGAAGTTATCGTAAGGACTAAATAAATGGTGTGAAACTTCAAATTGCTCCTAGCTGGATCGTTAAGATCTGATGAATTTTCGTATGAAAGCCTTAATTTTTAATGAATTGAAATACTGGAATTCTCTTTCAAATTTCCAAAAGTTATTTATTGATCAGGGGTTTTGAGTATTCAAACAGATTACGGTATCGGTGCTAGTCAAAGAGATCTTTTATCAGCTTCATCTGTCAAGCTTTCAACAACATAGAGAATCAGTCTCGATTTACATAGCGTAAAGCCTACTCAAGTATCTAGACACAATCTTAAATTTTGTGTCTCTCTTAAGGTTTGCGGCTTCGTCTGCGCACTTTCACCACAGTAACAGAACAGTGTTAGCTTTCACTTGTTCTTGTCATGAAGAACGTCCGCAACGCTGTCGCGCGCTATCCATGCTCTAACTCGGAAGAAGCAATAGACGAGTAAGTCTGTTTTTCCATTACAGTAATCGCGAATCAATCTTTGAGAGTCACTAAATGGGCTCTACCCCAATTGCTATCGTCAGTGTTAGAGGGCCGTGTCCCTATCGAAGAAGCCAGAAAGATGTGTGCAAATATGCTAAACACAGACATGTACCGCTGGAAGTTTGAAATCGCTATCAAGCTCAGAGAGGGAAAACCAAAAGATGCTCTTGAGTTAGCGGATGCTTTCAAAGCTGATGATAAATATCCAGATGGTTTTCTTTTTCTGGTTGATTGTGCTCATAAGCACATTAAAATTGATGATTGGCTCTTGGAGAATGTTAGTTTCTAAATTCCGAAATCAGTTTGAAAACATTTTTTACAGGGTCTCACTCCTCCACCACCACTTACGTTGTCTCACGAAGATCATTTCATCGAGATTCCATTGGATATACTGATGAATCGTCCAGCAAAACCAGACCTGACGAAATACGTATCCGGGCACAGGGTACCTTTGCCGGTAAAATTTGAAGTTTCAGAAAAATCAGAGATAAGTTTTGATTTTTTTTTTCAGAAGCCTATCCAGAAGGAACTCAAAAAGTTCATCCCAGATCATCGCAAGCAGTACAATTCCACCGAATTGCTGGCGATTTCGATAAAATTTGGAGTGACGGTTCCACAGATCCAATGGTATTTTAAAAGAAGAAGAACCTATTTTGCCAGAAAGTGAGCCAGATTTTTAATTTAAAAAATTTTATTTTTTGATTCAGATTGAAAGCCGAACAGCATAACCAAATGAAGTGGATGATGGGAGAGAAGAAACCCACCAACGATGGATTCCACGATGTGATTGCTCTTGGTTGATTTTTGGGCTATGGACGTTTATCGAAACCGTTCAGTTTTCTTTTTTCCTCATAATTTACCGAAGTTCTCCTGTTATTTTTTGTCTTAAATAAAATATCAATCGCTCTCTTCTCTTTCTTCCAAAATGCTCTTCGCTAATCTACTCCTCTGACGTAATCAGCCCATCTCAAATGTTTTGGTTGGTGATGCAACGAATTCGGTATACGGTAGCAGGCAATGCGGTGAATCTCGCGGAACACGTTGCGTGCTAAGGGCACTAAAATAAGAGAGTGTGGGATTAGCAGAGACGACAGGTGTAATATGTTTCAGTGGCGGAATTGCGCAAAAGAAGTTGGAATAGACGAGACAGATTGACACCTGGGACCATTGACCAGATGAGGGACTTGTTGATCTGTCTACAGGGGACCAATTGTTAATTAGAGGGACGCAACGAGAGTATAACTTTGTAGAAGGCGAAAAATTTTCAGAAATGTCACATATGCATAAAGAAGGGGAAACCAATCCTCGTGATATAGGTGTTTTGTGAATTGGAAAATTCAAAGTGCATTTAAAAAAAATTATGGGATAATTGAGTACTTCCAGAAATGTCGAGGTGGGGGTGTCGGTACCAGTTGCACTATTCACCTCTTGGTTTTATGGTGTATCAAAATTTATGATTATTGAAGCATAGACCTACTTGAGATTCGTGAACACATGATCCATTTTACAAGTTTTTATACAAAGATAAGATCATGTGCTTCTCCTCATAAGAGCTCATGGATCTGTGAAAATATGCTCTAGTTGTCATTCTGGTACAAAACATTGGAGCTGTAGAAGAGAAAACATGGGGGCCTAAGATCTCTTAATGACAACTACCGTAACCTAAACATACCGCAAATCCTGTGATAAAAGGAGCCCCCACTCTTTCAAGTTTGAGCTCAATTATCTTGGTTCGCATGAGAAACATCAGAAATGTGTCAACTGATGAAACGTTTGTGATATTATGATGAAGAATTTATCAGTTGGCAATTTTTTCAAATCTTTTACAGGGTCCGAGATAAATTGACTCACGGGGTTGCAACAGGGTACATGCAAATTTGAATTCTCAGTGCTCTTAGGCGCGTTGCGCCGCGCGACGCGGCTGAATTTTGGCTTGGAATTTGGGATTTTCAATTCAAAAAAATGATGATTTGGCACGGTGCCAAGTCCTCGAATTCGAGGTGTGCGACAAAGCGCGTTTTCCGGAGGTTACCGCGGGCAATTCCGTGTTGACTTAAAGTTGAAAGGTAGAGGGCCCTTCTATTACAGGTTTTACGGTATGTTCATTTCCCGTAGTTTTCATCTTGATTTTAACTGCTTTTAGAAAGTTTTTCAGTTATTTTCCTCAAACAAGTCGAAAAATAAAACATTTTAAAGTGAGAAGACTGACTGAAAACGCACAAAAATAGAGAAAATAAATCCGGAAACTAAAACTATTTTTGGGTTACGGTAGCTGTCGCTGTGGGACTTTCGGCCATGGCAACCAGATGTTCTCCCTCACAGCTTCGACTTTTGCATACCAGCATGATATCTATTCAAGAATATATGTCTTATACGTAATTAAAGCTTCAAAACATCCATATCATATTATTGATCTTTGAGACTTCCAATCTCCGTAAATAACCTTTTTCAAATTTTCTCTTCTATTACGAAACAATCAAATAGAATCTCCACTTTTGCTCTCGTTTTCCATCTCGGCTACTAACATTCAAAACCCATTCTCGCCGCTCTCTTTGTCACCATTTCACCGACATCATTCCCTCGTCTACCATGTCTGTGATCATGGGTTGTCTGTCGCTATTACTCCGCCCCTTTCTCTCTCATTCGAGTACTTTCTTTCACTTTTTTGGTGTATGTGTTCCTAAAAATGTGTCTATAAAAAGTGAGAAGGATTGCAGCTGTCAAAAACTTATCCACTCTCTTCATTTGAAGATTTTCACTGATGTCCAAACAGATGTTCAGTTACTTGTCTCTTTATTAAGAGATTTTACTTTTTCGATTCGACCTTTTCCCTTTCAACCCAAAATTCGTAAAAATGTTTTAGTATTTTCAGATGGACGACTCTTCAGGCTACTATGAAGGTTGGAATTTTGTAAACTCGCTCATGACTCCTAAAAGACCTGCCGAATGTGACAAGAACATATTGCCGTCCCGGAGACTAGCACATTCGAACTACCGAATCACCACGGTTTCCCTTGATTCCTCGCTCAATTCAACATCGGACGATTCGGGATACTTCACTTCTGTTGACCAACCTCCGAGCAGTTCTACTATTTTCCCACTGAGTCCGGCATCATCCAATCCTCCGGAATCACCTCATCCCACACTAGCTGAAATTCTGTCTTCGAAGAACAATCCTAACACAACTCCAACGAGACCACTCCCATTACCCAAGCCAAAATCACTCTTGCAAGCGCTGCTGGAGGATGATACGGATGTTCCTGCTCCTATTGCAAAGCGACAAATTCTAAGAACTGAGGGATTTGTTCCAGAAGCTCGACGTTATCGTCGCAGAGAACCTAATAAACGAAAGGCCGTTGAGACAAAGCAGAAAAGACAAGGACCTTATGAGGAGAGTTGGCTCAATGAGGTGTATTGGTATAACTTCAACGATTACATGAAGAAACATTATTATGATGTATTCGCATGGCCGATTCCCGAAAAAACAGCTAAGGTTAGTGATGAGGGATTTGGTTCCAAAGTTTTTTGCTTTCTGAGTATGTTAAGAATCCACTGAAACCCGAAATAACTTACGAGTTGCACAGGGTTCTAATTTGTAGGCCTAATCAGAAATTACGCCCCTATATTATTTTTAGGCCAGACCAAATTTAATAATTTTAAAGTGGACGTGGACCTGTGTATTCTCAATCTACTCCGCTTCACGTTGTACGTTTGATACTCAGCCCAACGAAAAAATGAAAAAGCCCCAAACTGAAGTTCGCTGGGGCATGATTTCTGACCAAACCTTTTGGAACCCTGTTCAGTTAGAGAATGAGATTGCGATGTGAAATATCAAATTTTCAAACAAAAACACTATCTTCACATACATAAAACCATAGTGGTGAAATTTTCAGATTGCCGATCCAGCCGAACCAAGATTTTCAACAACCCAGGAATCATCTTCTGTCAATGAATCATCGCCAGATCACAAGCCAGCCTCCAATCCAGTAACCTCTGTCGAGTCTTCGTTGTCTGAATAACCCATAACTGTTACCGCCCCTCATTTCTTTTCAACCCTCCCATGACATTATCCTACCTGTCCTTCAAAAACATTCTCATAAATTCATAATTTCTCTAGTATCTTTCAAATGTCGCAGTCTTTTTGTGTCACATCTTCTAAGCATTTTTTAAAAACTCACGAGACACACACACCCATTAACGGCTCCGCCCGCTCGTGTCTCCCTGAGGAACGAATTCAAATCGCAATGTTTGTTCTCGTTTTTGCCCCCCAGTTCTTCTCCAGTCTCTCCACTAAAAACATGTGTGTGTGTTTCTTTTTGTTTCTATCGTACTCATTTAATCATCACTGCCTCGAGAGAAATTTTACAGGAATTTCTAAATTAAGATTTTTGTGTATTCATCTAGTCGATTGTCTTCCAATGTTTCTAGCACTCGTGTTTTTCATTCTAATTTTTTTTTCTTATGGGCGCAGCGCGGAGCAATTACTCATGGGCACTGACGGAGATTTTCAGCGGAAGTCAGTCGGCTTAGGGTATATTGCAAATCAAGCAAAACGGATATTACAACTGATCGAGATCTGAATAACTTTTTATTTAGCTCCAAAATACTCTATCTTGCGGATTCATCATAATAGTTCTCATTTCTTTTTCCCAATTTTGTGAAATTGATTTAATCGATTCGGCTCATATTACGGATGATAAACTTTGGGGGTACAATTGGATATGAAGTGATTTAGAGGTACAAAACTCACAATCCGGGGGATCCAATTTTCTCAGGTATTTTGTACCTATACATCGGTTCGTATCCCAATGACACCAACATGTTTGTACCCTCCGAATTATTTGCCTATCGATTCAAAATTTCAAAACAAAAATGTTTTTTTTTTTGCATTTTTGTATTCATATAAGACGGTAGAAATTTGAAGAATATTTTTCTCATTTCTGAAAACCGGAATTTCTCAAATTTTATGTACAAAAAGAACAGAGTTAATGGAAAAAACAAAAGTTTTTCGAAAAGTTTGTCTTTTCGACAGATTTCGTCCAGTTTCGTCTTGCCTTTTTATTATTCAGAAATTTTCTGTATGAATATTCCAGAAATTAGTCAAAGTTATAGAAAATGTTTATTTGATGGATCTGAAAATAATCTTGAACAAAAAAATAGGTGGACAAATCGAAATTGGACAGTGTAGTAGTATTATCAAATCCGGGGGACAACCAATCTTCCTGCATTTTGAACTTCTTGATGCTCTGTACCTTCTTTTATTCTACAGGTACAGAATCGGTTTGTCTCCCGATTTTGTACTTTTTTAAAGGAAAAAGTGGTCAAGCCAAAATCGAGTATTATTTGAATTGTGCCACGAGGTACAAAATCGGTAGGCAAACCGATTCTGTACCTAGTGAAACCATTCAAATTTTCTCTGATTTCACGTGTCTTTTTGTGGATTTTGAAACATTACTCATGAAATCCGATTTTGAACCAATTTTTTGATCGACACTAACTTTCCACAATACGCTTATTTGGGTGAGAGTGATATCTGAAATTTTGGATATTTTGAGGCTAATCCGACGTTAACAGTAAGTATATATACCCGACCCGAATTCTTTCTCATCTTTTGATGGTACTTATTGTGGACATCGGATTGACTGTTGGCTAGCGGATTGGATATTGGATAGCAGTCTCAAAATATCCAAAATTTCAGATATCACTTTCACCCAAATAAGCGTATTGTAGAAAGTTAGTGTCGATCAAAAAATTGGTTCAAAATCGGATTTCATGAGTAATGTTTCAAAATCCACAAAAAGACACGTGAAATCAGATAAAATTTGAATTGTTTCACTAGGTACAGAATCGGCTTGCCTACCGATTTTGTACCTCGTGGCACAATTCAAATAATACTTGATTTTGGCGTGACCACTTTTCCTTTAAAAAAGTACAAAATCGGGAGACAAACCGATTCTGTACCTGTAGAAGAAAAGAAGGCACAGAGCAACAAAGAGTTTAAAGTGCAGAAAGATTGGTTGTCACCTGGATTTGATAATACTACTACTACACTGTCCAATTTCAATTTGTCCACCTATTTTTTCGTTCAAGATCATTTTCAGATACATCAAATAAACATTTTCTATAACTTTGACTAATTTCTGGAATATTCATAATTTTTGTACAGAAAATTCAGATATCTGGAGAAACTGAAATAAAGGCTACATGGTACATGAAATCATCAATTCGAGATGTTTCTATACATGCGAAAAAAATTCTTCAAATTTCAACCGTCTTATATTAACACGAAATCTACTTATGTTTCTCAATTTCAATATTCTTCTAATTTCGATTAATTTCTAGTGAATTTTCTGGAATCTCTAATCCGAACATGAATCCATTCGAGCCGTGGTTTTGCCAGATTCCAAAAGCCGAACGAGATGAAATTCACAGAAAAGTCTACATGAGGGTTCGTCATAGACTGGGATCCTCAACACTGTTGAGAGGATGTGATAAAGTGAGACGGTGTAGAAAATGTACCTACTTATTTTTCTAATGAATTCTAGGAAAGGTTCCGCTTCTTGCAAACTCATCTCTTGGTTACCATATCTGGTATGTTTTCCTACAATGGGAGGCATGTCTACTTTGGTGATATCTTCAAAAAGATGCTTCAAAATGCGGTTGCTCCAAAAGTGAGTTATTAGTGGCTTCCTTTGACATTAACCAAGAATATTCAGAATCCTCCGGTTTCCGAAAATCGCATCGACGCCATAGTGGGACAGGGAGAGTGGATGAAATACAAATTGATCGATTTGGCTTTCGTCAAAAAGCTTTTTGATGAATCCAGAAAAAGTGTGGTGTCGATTTGTCGGACCGATGTTGACGATGAGAAATTTCTGGCGACGCTGAGTGCTCTTGCTCAAGCCTGTGATCTTACGCTTCGAACAGTGAGCTTTTTCAAAAATTTCATGGTGTTTTCCTCCGATGGAAGCCCACCAAAAAATTTCAACTTTGAGCTCGGGTGGGCTTATAGGGATTACGGTAAATAGAAAACAAATTTCAGCGAGAAGAGCAAAGCGCATGGGTTACGGTTTTTGGACAAGTGTGCTATGGTTTGTTCTTGGAAGCGTACGACAAGCTTACCCAACTTCCCAGTATTGCAGAAACTGTCGACAATGTGAGTTTTAATATACCGTAAAACCTGTATTAGAAGGGCCGGCCCTTCCATTGTTCCAAGGTACCTCCGGAGGGCCCTTCTATTACAGGGGCCCTTCAATTAGAGGGGGCTCTTCTATTCTTCCAGCCAGTTTTTTTTCCGAAATTTAGCATAGAAAAACTCGACGAATTCACGCAAATCTGCCGATTTCACCAAAATTTAGCAAGATTTTCATCGAAAAATAGAGTTTCAACAAACCTCTATTAAATTGTGGAGTTCCCGAAATATTTTCCACTGAAAAAGAACAGAAATTTTCTGATCTTAAAACACATTTTGAAGGGGGTCCTTCTTCACAAAGGGTCCTTCTATTACGGGGGCCCTTCTATTACAGGGGGACCATCTATTTTTCCGAGCCCCTCTCGGAGGGCCCTTATATTAGAGGGGCCTTTCTATTAAAGGGGCCCTTCTAATACAGGTTTTACGGTATCCAACTCAATGTATAACAAAAAAAGTTTTTTTTTTCTCATTCAGGTGGCCCGGAACCTTGCTATCGAAAATAACTTGTCTGCTGGTCTGAAAATTCCACGAGTTCCAGTAAGTCGGTTGAGAAGATTCAATTAAAAGCATCATGAATTTCAGAAATACGTTCATGACTACTTGAATCAGTTTCTTTCGGAAAGGAAAGGAAACATCATGGATTTCGACAAGAAATTTTTGTCGGACCTATTCCGAGGTGTGACGTCGAAACATAGCATTTATAATCACTTGAAAAGGCAAGGGATGAAACAAGAAAGTTGGGTTAAGTAAGTTTAGAAAATATATAAGCGATTAGAATATGTTTTTGTTTGGTTTTCAGTATAGATCCCGAGTCAGCTGTGGAAGAATGAAGCTATGCGAGAACGAGAAGAAATATTAACTTCCTGAATTCAAATGCTGTCTTCTATATTTACATGTCCTTCCTCTCATTCTCCTCATTTCCTACTTCTCAACGTTAGCCACGATGAATATCCTTTTATAATAAATCTCTCTCGTTTTTCAAGTTCAAGAATGCAGAAAAAAAGAGACGAGCTCTCAAGCATAGCCTAATCCTATAGAAATCTTACAAATCTTCTTAAGATTTATCGAATTTTTCAGTCGATCCTTTTTTTCTAGACTTGCGGCACTCAAAAAAATTATTAAGATAATTGAGTAGATCAAAAAAGTTACGATCTGCAAGATTTTTTCCTATGCTCTTCCGCTTGGGATTTTTCTTGGCATTGATCTCGATTTTTATCGTTTCAAGTTTTTCGTTTTTTTAACAAATAAAATCAATATTTTAGTTTTAAGAAATCTCAAGCCATCTACTAACTCAAAATGACAAACGACGGACAACCTCCAGCAAAGAAAACTCGACAATCAACATCAGAAGAGGCAACTCCAAGTCCGAAAACTAAAAGCGCAACCAGCAGTACTTCGAGAAGCCCTCGTATGGGAACGGTAATCTATATTTTTCAAAAATTTACTGACTAACGAATAAACCGATAATAGAAGGACACTCGAACTTCTGAGCCATTTTATCTTGGTTCCTGTCAAAGGTATAAAAATTTGTCAACTGATAATATGTTTATCATAATATCAGAAGTGTTTTGTCAGCTTACACACTTCGATTTCTGCATAAGAGCCAAGAAAAATTAGTTCAAATTTGAGAGTGTGGGGGCCCTTCAAATACAGCTTCTACGTATTATTTTTCAGATTCCCGAAATGGTGGTGAAGCCGTTTGATATCGAGGGGTCCGCTTATTACAATCCAGAACTTTCGCTCAAGGATGAAAAGGTTTCTTTAAAATCGGGATCTATTCTGAAAACCAAACAAAAGCATATTCTAATCGCTTATATATTTTCTAAACTTACTTAACTCAACTTCCTTGTTTCATCCCTTGCTTTTTCAAGTGATTATAAATGCTATGCTTCGACGTCACACCTCGGAATAGGTCCGACAAAAATTTCTTGTCGAAATCCATGATGTTTCCTTTCCTTTCCGAAAGAAACTGATTCAAGTAGTCATGAACGCATTTCTGAAATTCATGATGCTTTTAATTGAATTTTCTCAACCGACTTACTGGAACTCGTGGAATTTTCAGACCAGCAGACGGGTTATTTTCGATAGCAAGGTTCCGGGCCACCTGAATGAGAAAAAAACAACTTTTTTTGTTATACATTGAGTTGGATACCGTAAAACCTGTATTAGAAGGGCCCCTTTAATATTTCCCTTTTTTTTAAATTGTTTTCCCTAAAACAGAAGAATCGCAAAAAAACAATTCGAAAGGATTTGTAGAAACACGAGGCATTTGAACACAAGAATCAAAGAATTATCAGAGAAATGTGGCAACGGAGCAACAAAACGATCCCAAAAATTTGTATATAATTTCAAAATTACAAAAAACGATCAAGATGTTCAGGAAAAAAAAAGTATCTTAAAACCATTATAATAATTTTCTTCAATCCCATTTGTCGAAAATAGTCTTCCCGCCAGAAAACACAGGGAATCGAGCATCAAAGCTTGTGAAATCCCAATTAAGTCCCTCGAAAATTTTCTTGTTCGTGTGCTTGAATCTCATTTGATAGCTCCTTTTTAAATTTCCCAAAAGAAAATTTATGAGTCGCTTATCCAACTCCAATCCCGTTTTATCTTTGATTTTCGGTAGCCATCCGATTGATGGCTACTCTGCGTGTCGCATAAATGTCAACTTCGATGTTAACGAACTTTGAAAGGTACTTCTTCAGGTCTCCATAGATACGTGGAAGCTTGTGATCGTCAGAATCTTGTCTTACGCACTAAAAGTCGGAATTAGGATATCAAAAGATGAATTCAAATAGTAGGTACCTCTAGAAGAGTGGTTTTCAGATGTGGAAGAATTTCATAGTAAGATTCGTCATGCTCTGAAACATCAGGAATACCATTGTTTGGCGGTGTTACTCCATTTTCCTAGAAATAAGAGATATTTAGAATCGGTGCAAAATTAGCGGAGCTTACAGTTGAAAAGTTTGACAGGTTTTTCGTTGGAGAACGAGCATTGAGTGGAATATTGGTTTGTAGTCCTTTTCGATTTCCCTAAACAAAATTTAAAATTTTAGACGAGTTAGGCAAATCGGGACAACTCACATGTTTGCTGGAGCTTTGACCATTGTTCTGGTTCCAAACAAAATCCGGTTGAACTGATAATGTATGATTGCGACACCCAGGATTAGTTAGAAGATCGGTTTGATGTTGGCAGAGAGAGGATGGAAGGGGATTTCCAGCATGAACTATTTTTAGTAGCGATCCTTTCGGAAACCATTGACAACTTCGCTCAAGTCCAGGATCTTCTTGAGGGATATCGATATGAATTTCCAGCATTTTTGTCTAGAAAACAATAGCCAGTTCGAGAAATTATTGTAAAACATGCAGTAGAAGGACCGGTCCTTCTATTGTTCCTAGGTACCTCCGGAAGGAATCTTCTATTTTTCCAACCCCTCTCGGAGGACGCTTGTATTAAAGGGCCTATTAAAACAGTCCTTCTAATAGAGGTTTTACGGTATGTACGTGGAACTTACCGCTTCTTGGCTCGAATTCCAGCTATCTTCTAGGAACTGTTCGAATCCGGCAAAAGTGAGGACTTTAGCAGGGAAAACTGATGATGGATGGAATTCCTGGAAATCGTTTAAATTAGTCCAAAAAGTTATTTTTCAGAACTTATTGGTATATTACTCACCCGTCCAGAATCGTGAAATTGGTCAGCTTGGATACTAAGCAGTGTTCGTCTTCTTCCCATGGCGGATGGTCGTGACCATCCATGAAGAACAACTTCGTCGAGTGGAATTGAAGAATTGGAATTGAAACAAAATTTAAATGTTCAGGCTCGATTTTATTTTATGACCCTAATAAAAAAAAGATTCGATTATGCAAATTTCTACTCTGAAACCATTTTTTATCATAAGACAAGAAGAATACACTGCGTCACATAATTATAAGTTCACTTTAAATTTTGAATTTTTTCGAAAACTGTGAATATGGACTGAACAGGATATGATTGAAGCAAATACTAATTCGGATTGTCAATTAATGAATACCATTTGAGACTGCTACCATTTCTTAAATTTGGCAAAATTGAAAAAATCGGAAAAATGGTCCGAAAAAACGTCACATAAGTATAAGTTCACTTGAAACAATGAAAGATAACTCAAAACACAGATTCTAAAATTTTATGAAACTATAAAATATAGTGAAAAGGGCTCATAATAATTTTGTTTATGGGAGAAATTTAGCTGTACCTATAATCATACTTGAGTCACATCCGTTTTTGGCCAGCTTACACTGGAAATGAACTTTTTCGTTGATAACTGTTCAGAAAACAGTGCTGACTCTAAATTTTTGTTTTTCACAGAATCATTGCCAATTGTTTCACACAGTTAACTGTCAAAAAACATGAGGCTGATTTGAAAACCGAGAGAAATGTCTCATTTTAGCACAATTTCACAGGTATGTTCCGAGTGGTACTGTGTCTTCCTCGGCAGACATATGATTGAGCTGACTAGCATAAAAGGAAAGTGCACAAGTTTTCATTAGGGAACATACATAAAACCATAAAAATCTAGATCTTGAGTTCACGGAATCAGCAACTTTTTGGACCATCTCACACTCAAGCGTTAAAAATGGGCTATGAGGAGTCATGTTTACGGAGTTGTTTTGTGAGGAAGGAGTCACGCATTCTGATTTTTCTTCCTTTAATCACAATTTTCAAGTTTAGAATTTACCGATACAATAGTTAGATTATTTCACAGTTGCGTTCTAGACGTACGATTGGCCTAGAAAATTATTATTTTTCGCGAAAAAATGACCGAATTCCAAGGTCCCAAATATTATTTAGAACTCATTTCATCAATCTTAAAATTTCTCAGCATATTTGAAAAGTTTTAACTTCTGTTTTTGTAGTTGACCTGATTTTTCAAAAAATCCGTTCCGGAGAGATATACGGTACCTTCTCGAAGGTTGGTAAGTATAGTTTTTGACAGATTATTTTCCCTCAAAGTGAATCTATCAGAGTGAAACTTTATGCATATTATGCCTGCCATTTTTCACAAGACACATTTTTCACGAAGACACAGTACCACTCGGAACATACCTGTGAAATTGTGCTAAAATGAGACATTTCTCTCGGTTTTCAAATCAGCCTCATGTTTTTTGACAGTTAACTGTGTGAAACAATTGGCAATGATTCTGTGAAAAACAAAAATTTAGAGTCAGCACTGTTTTCTGAACAGTTATCAACGAAAAAGTTCATTTCCAGTGTAAGCTGGCTAAAAACGGATGTGGCTCAAGTATGATTATAGGTACAGCTAAATTTCTCCCATAAACAAAATTATTATGAGCCCTTTTCACTATATTTTATAGTTTCATAAAATTTTAGAATCTGTGTTTTGAGTTATCTTTCATTGTTTCAAGTGAACTTATACTTATGTGACGTTTTTTCGGACCATTTTTCCGATTTTTTCAATTTTGCCAAATTTAAGAAATGGTAGCAGTCTCAAATGGTATTCATTAATTGACAATCCGAATTAGTATTTGCTTCAATCATATCCTGTTCAGTCCATATTCAGTTTTCGAAAAAATTCAAAATTTAAATGAACTTATAATTATGTGACGCAGTGTATAAAATCATCAAAATGAAAAAAAGTTTTTATTCCATTTGAATATTTACAGTACACTTTGAATACACTTTAAATATACAGAACATGAATACGATATAAATTCGGCATTATCTGGAATCGAGATCAGAGAGAAATATCCAAGTTTACTGATTGGTTTTGAACTCCAAAATTCATATACTCGGGTTCCATTTTTAAAAATTCTGCGAAATGAAAATTATTATAATGGTTTTAAGATACTTTTTTTTCCTGAACATCTTGATCGTTTTTTGTAATTTTGAAATTATATACAAATTTTTGGGATTGTTTTGTTGCTCCGTTGCCACATTTCTCTGATAATTCTTTGATTCTTGTGTTCAAATGCCTCGTGTTTCTACAAATCCTTTCGAATTGTTTTTTTGCGATTCTTCTGTTTTAGGGAAAACAATTTTACGACTACAAATTAAAAAAATTTTCAACCAGCCAAACAAGATTTTTTTGTGATCAAAACAGAGCAAAATATAGAAAAACTTTGATCCTTAGATTTTGGATTTAATACAATTTTTCAGACAGAATCTGGTTGATGGTTTTGTTTGTGGCATGAGTGTAGTTCAAGATAATACCATTATAAAACGTTTTGGTGTAAAAAAGAGCAACAGTCAAACCTGTAATAAACGGGCCTCCCGCTGATAAAATGTTGTTTGTCATAATATAAGAAATAGCGATTTTCAAAATTTTTAATTCTCGAAGGAATAAACAAAAATGGTCCAATTTTCTGTAATTCGTCACAGAAAATACTAAACTACTGATAAATGTCATAATCGATGTGTTTTTGTCCAGAAATACTTTATTTCAACGCAATCATGAAAAATATGGTTTTAATACATTATTTCTGTTGATTTTCAATTTTGCGAAAAGTTACGTGATGCACAGAAATTGAAGGCTTCGAATTCTGGGAATTTGGAAATTTTACGTGATTCACAGAAGTTGAACGTTGCAATTTCTGGGATTTTTCACAGAACTCGAACGGTTCGAGTTCTGGGATTTTGGAAATTCACGTGATTCACAGAATTCGAAGCCTTCAATTTCTGTGCATCAAGTGTTCTTTTTTATCACCGAATAAATATATATTTGCGTATCGAAAAAATTCTATTGCAAGTACAGGAAATACTACTCGAAAAGGCTTTATCGTTTTTTATGTAAATTCGAACATTTTTTCGCTCCGCAAAGAAAATGCGAAATTACTGAAACTTCACAGAAATTTTGGAAATCGAAGTGATTTGGGATGAAAATTGAAAATTTTGAAAATCGCTCCTTCTTATATTATCAATATTTTATCAGTTGACGAATTTTTGATGTCTTTCCTCATATTCAAGATAATTAGCCTTAAAGTGCACGTATAGGGTGGCCTTCTGTTAGAGCATTTCCGGTATAACGTTTTGGTGTGAAATTGAAAGACAGAAAATTGTTAGGTTGTTCATTTTTATTTCAAAAAAAAAACACTCGGATGCTGTAGCTCCATTTCAAATAGCGATACTTCAAACTCCCATCTTCATGTCCCCAAAAGTATTTTTTTTCCTAATTCACATGACTGAATTCCCTCGTCAGAACATCCATAATACACCGACTCTCCGTCTACACTAGGCAAAGAAAAAGAAACGTAAACTCTTTAGTTGCTAATCTGAAAAAGAGAAAGGAAAAACAAATCCCCTTCAAACATATTATCATTAATCTTGGGACGCCGCCAACCTCCTGAAATAGATAATCTCTGGGTGTGTCGTCGGCGGAAGTGTCCCCTTTTTCTAGAAACTTGCGATTCTCCTCTCCACACCAATATAATTCTCCTTTGTGTTTTCTTTTCCGTATTTTCTGCTCTCTGAAAAACACCAACATCTAACCACATAATCCTTGAATACTTTTTTCCTGTGTCCGAGTGGAATTCTGAACTCTGAAAACTCTTTCTCTCAGCAATCAAAACAAGAACTCATATGTTTTTTTTTTGAAAAGGGTAGATAGATGAGAGAGATGGAGCAAAAATAAAAGCGAATAGAGAAAAAAGTTTTTGTTCTTTTCTGTGTTATTCATTTCACACCGCCTGCCACCTGCTCTCTTGATGTTTTTTGTTTCTTTTTTATGAGAATAGACGCGTTGTGATCAGTGGAAGAACAGGGGTGAAGTCAGAAGGTCTAGGGGACCCGGAGATAGGTCTGAACTTTGAAATTTCACGAGTCAGATGTTATCTCAATTTTGATTCTTGTAATCATCTTATAACCTGTCGAATCTTCTAGTGCTAAAAGTGCACTTTCAAAAGTACTAGACATTCTGATTCAGACATCCATCTCTTCTGAATTCCCCGGTGTTGCATGTGCCACTTTGCTCTTTTACTCCTTCTTAATTTCCTATGTTGTTCCTGGCTGTTTTCTGATTCGCTCAACCCTTTATCAACCTCCTCATTATACTTCTCCTTCTCCTGTCACCGTGATTTTGAGATCTTCATATGCCAGTATACGACATTCATTTTCTCTTGATATGTATGGCACATTTTATTAGAATTCGGCCTTTCTAAACTCGTATACCTCTTCTAGATTTTCAAGATTATGTTTTTCCATTTCAGCTTGTCAAATCATCGTCTCCTGGATAATTTGTGTGAATCGGAAACCAGGTACGTCGTTTATGTAATCTAAAGTACTGCGGTTCGCACTTATTCTAAATTCGTTCCTTAATCTAGTTTATCTGAGATTCCAAGCATCTCATTTTAGCGGCAAAAAATTCGGGGGGTACAATGATTCGGGGGTACAAGGGGGTACAACTGATTTAGGGGTACAAAATTGGTGATTCGGGGGTACAAAATTCGTGGGTACAAAAATTCGGGGGTACAACGATTCGGGGGTACAATCTACCAATGATTCTGGTGTACAACTTATTTCATTTAGGGGTACAACGTTTGTGATTCGGGGGTACAATTTTTTTTGACGAAGTTTCTGAATTCCTGAATTTCAGAGCTTGAAAATCTCAGAATTCTTAGATTTTCAGAACTTTGTAATTCCAGTATTTCGGAATCTGAAAATTTCGGAACTTCAAAGTCTGAGAATCTGAAAATTTGGGAAATTCAGAATCTCAGAATTTCAGAACTTCGAAATCTCAGAATTTCAGAAATTCAGAATTCTTAGAATTTCAGAACTTTGGAATTGTAGAATTCGCAACCTGAGAATTCGGTAACTTCAGAATCTGAGAATCAGAGAATTTCGGATCTTCAGAATCTGAGAATGCTAAAACTTCAAAATCTCAGAACTTCGGAACTTCAAAACTTCAGGACTTCAGAATCTCAATATTTCAAGAAAGACAATGGAGAACTGTGAAATGATTTTAACAAATTTTACAAACGGATTTTAATGCCAGTCGATACTTTCCTCACTTCCAATTTTTCTCAATTTTATTTCTCAATTCTTTTTCATTTCCTTTTGTTTCTCAATATTCCTTCGTTTTTTCCCAATTTTCCGTTTTTCCCAATTTTTCTTAATTTTCCTCAATTTTCGCGATAATTCAAATTTTTCTCATTTTTAAATGATTTTCTAGATCCTTGATTGAAGGAAACAATCACAATTCAGTGATTTTCCCACAAAATTTCAAAAATCCCAAAAATTGGCCCAAAATGAGCTATTTTTTTCGAAAATCGTTCGAACTGGCAATAAAACCTTACAAAAACTTTAAAATTTATTTGTTTTCAATAAATTGCCGCAAAATGTGAGCAAAAATAATGAAAAACGAAGGAAAACGGAGAAAAATGGGAATTGCGAAAAGATCTCAATTTCGCGAAATTTTTCCATGGAAGAGAAAACCCCGCAGCTCGGCCACGGCCATGGCTGATGACGTCATCGCTCGCAAATTTTATTTTTGGGATTTTCTCCGTTTTCCTTCGTTTTTCATCATTTTTGCTCAAATTTTCGTGGTAATTTATCGAAAAAAATTAATTCCCAATTTTTGAAATGTTTTATGGCCTGTTCGAACAATTTTCGATAGAAAATAGCTCACTTTGGGTGAATTTTT